CGGCTGACGCGCACGAGCGACACGACGAACGGTACGACCAGAACGAACAGGAGAGACAGGACGCGACGCAGGCTCACGACGCACAGCAGGACTGCCTGTCTGCTCAGTGTAAGGAGAGGGAGCAGGTAGCGGTGAGCCAGTCTGTAACGGAAGACCAGTAGAAGACGGGAGAGTAACAACCTGACGAAGAGCAGAGTCAGGCGGCGGCAGAGACGACGGAGACGGTGGAGCGAAGAACAGTCCTGTCGGCGCAGCTTCACCAGCAGCTCCAGCAGCTCCAGCAGCTCCAGAACTAGCGTCACCAGCAGCAGCACCCCCAGAACCGGCACCTGCAGTCCCAGGGTCTCCAACCGCAGTGTCTCCCGCAGCAGCACCTCCAGAACCAGCACCTCCAGTCCCAGGGTCTCCAACCGCACTGTCTCCCGCAGCAGCACCCCCAGAACCAGCACCTCCGGTCCCAGGGTCTCCAACCGCACTGTCTCCCGCAGCAGCACCCCCAGAACCAGCACCTCCAGTCCCAGGGTCTCCAACCTCAGTGTCTCCATAAACGGCACCTCCAGACGCAGCACCCCCAGCCCCAGCAGCTCCAGTACCTCCAGCAGCAGAGCCCCGGGCTCCAGCAGCGCGACGCTGACGGCGACCGTACCAGTCGTGCAGCTGCTGAGGGGTGAGGGGCACACGTGGACGAAGGCGGCCACTCCAAGTAGGCCGCGCACCAGCAGTCCCAGTACCCTCAAGCGTCTCACCTCCAGACTCAGCACCCCCAGACTCCGCACACACAGGCTCAGTACCCCCAGACACAGCACCCCCAGGCGCAGGACCTCCAGTCTCCTCACGCGCAGGCTCAGCACCCCCAGACTCCGCACCCCCAGACGCGCAGTACCTCCAGGAGCACCACCCCCAACAGCACCAGAGTCAACAGGAACCGGCTGCAGAGGCGGCGAAGAAGGTCGCGGAGGGAACCCTGGAGGGGTCTCCAAGCGTGGTGCACGGCGGTAGGCCGCCGGGGCGTCAGCAGCAGCGTCACCCCCCTCAGGTGGGCCAGAGGTGTCGGAAGTGACCTCCAAAGGCTCAGCCAAGGGGGGGGGGTCTACCTGAGACACACCTGAAGGAGCAGGACCCTGAGGGGGGAGGGGGTCTACCGGGGGGGGACCTGGCGTAAGGAAGAGCGGCGGGGGGGGAAGGGGGGCAGCGCGGTAGGGGAAGAGACGGTAGTACGGAACCGACTCGTCAAACGTGACGTCCTGGGAGGACAGAACACGGCGCGAGGTGGGGTGGTAAAACTGCCAACCAGGCGCGTCAGGGGGGAAGCCAAGGAAGACGCAGGGAACAGCACGGGAGGACAGCTTGTCCGTAGACAAGTCTCGGACAAAAGCCCGAGATCCCCAGACACGGAACGCAGACGCATCGCCAACCTTCCCCGTCCACCGCAGAGTGGGGGAGGTCTCCGGCATGGAGACCCGGGGCTGAAGGTTGATCTGACGCGCCGCGTACTGAACCGCAAACGGCCACAGAAAATGGGGAGCAGCCGCATGGATCATGGACGTGCGAGCGACATCCATGACCATGCCAATGCGGCGCTCAGCAATCCCATTTTGCTGTGGAGAGGAAGGAAGCGTGAATGTCTGGCGGATGCCCCTCGCACGACAGAAGGCTCGCAGAGGGCCGGAGGAAAACTCTCCACCTCTGTCAGAGTGCAGACGCAGAACAGGAAAGTCCGAGCCGAAACTCTTCCTGAGTTGGAGACGAGCTGCGCGGATCCAGTCGATCAACACCTTAGTGACCTCATCCTTGCGGCGCAAGGGGAAGACTGTGGTGTAACGCGAGTAGTCGTCAACCACCAGCAGGAAGTAGCGCTCGTGACCCTGTCCACGGACGCGGGCTGGGCCCCACACGTCCATGTGAAGAGTCTGCAGCGGAGCCTCTGTCGGCGGAAACTCGGAGGAGTGAGGAGCGGCGCGCTGCCGCCCCTCGACGCAGGGGACACAGGTAGGGGCAGGCCCCGGGGGGAGGGGAGGGAGCGACCGGGGGAGACCAGAGACCAGGACACGAGAGGCCATGCCTCGGAGACGAGGCAGGGAGGGGTGACCAAGACGGTGGTGCCAGAGAAGAGTCTCGTGGGACAGGAGGCGACACGAGCAGGGGGCAGACTCAGGACCAGACCGAGACGCCGCAGCAAACACCTGACCCGACGCAGCTACCTGACCAGGCACAGCAACCGGAGGAGACTCGGTAGTGAGGGTGTACAGGCTCGACCCCGGCCGACGGGTAAACGTGGCCAAGTGTCGGCCCGTGTCCGCACACGTGCAGTGGGTCACCCGCTGACGCGCAGGGGTGAACTGGTCAACCCCCCCATCCTGTAGGTCAGCACCCGCCACCAAGTTCGTAGAGAACGAGGGGAGGTAAAGACCCGACAGGGAGCCAGACGGGACCGCTGGACACGGTAGTACAGTGGAGTAGTGGGCAAGAACAGGACCCCCAGAGGGGTCTGCCAGGGAGACTGCAACCGGCCGACTGAGCGGCGTGAGAGTGGTGCGGTCTCGAAAGAAGGAGCGGGAAGCACCCGAGTCAAGGGTGAAAGTGTGCGACGCCGGAGCAGACGTGGTACCTGAGAGAGCAGACTCACCAGCACCTGGAGCAGCAGACTCACTAGCACCTAGAGCAGCAGCTGCACCGCCCGGGTCGGGCGGAACACTCAGGGAACAGTCACCGGCATCACTAGTAGACAATGCATACATGGCAGTAAGGATAGCATCATAGTCAAGAGCATAGATATCTACCCTCTGCCGGAGCAGCTCCACCCAGTCGGGGAGCTCAGCCGCGTCGCCAAACTCAGTACGCCAGGCGTCGCTCAGACTGGCGAAGCAGCGGGACTCTGTGTGACCAAACGTCCCGCAAGGCTGGCCAGTCCGAGCACCAGTGCGAATGACGTACGGGCAGCGAGCAGAACCCCGTGACCCCCCCCGCTGAAAGTACCACTCATGAAGCTGCGAGGGCGAAGGGACCGCGCGCACACGACGCTGCAGCTGCACCTGGCCACTACAAGAAGCCCCGACACTACTCACGCCAGAACGACTCCCACTACGGCCACCCCGACAACCCCAACGAGCGTACCACTCATGAAGCTGTGGGGGCGTGAGGGACTCACGCGGACGGCGCTGGAGCTGCATCTGGCCACGCCAGGAGCAGCAGTAGCAGTAGAAAGCGCAGGAGCAGTAGGAGCAACACGAGCAGCAGTAGCAGCAGGAGCAGCAGTAGCAGTACTAGCAGCAGTAGTAGTAGAAAGAGCAGTAGCAGCAGGAGCAGCGGTAACAGCAGTACAGGCAGGACAGTGCTCACCAGTGGCAAGAAGGGCAGGCGTACGACGGCGGCAACGGCAAGGCCGGCACCACTGCAGGGCGAGGGCTCCGCGGCAGCTGCAGGGGGGGGGGGGGGGGGGGGGGGGGGGGGGGGGCAGCTGCTCCAGGGGCGGCTGCTCCAGGGGCCAGGGGCGGCTGCTGCAGGGGCGGCTGCTGCAGGGGCCAGGGGCGGCTGCTGCAGGGGCGGCTGCTCCAGGGGCCAGGGGCGGCTGCTGCAGGGGCGGCTGCTCCAGGGGCCAGGGGCGGCTGCTGCAGGGGCAGCTGCTCCAGGGGCCAGGGGCGGCTGCTGCAGGGGCGGCTGCTCCAGGGGCCAGGGGCGGCTGCTGCAGGGGCGGCTGCTCCAGGGGCCAGGGGCGGCTGCTGCAGGGGCGGCTGCTCCAGGGGCCAGGGGCGGCTGCTGCAGGGGCGGCTGCTCCAGGGGCCAGGGGCGGCTGCTGCAGGGGCGGCTGCTCCAGGGGCCAGGGGCGGCTGCTGCAGGGGCGGCTGCTCCAGGGGCCAGGGGCGGCTGCTCCAGAGGCGGCTGCTCCAGGGGCCAGGGGCGGCTGCTGCAGGGGCGGCTGGTCCAGGGGCAGGGGCGGCTGCTCCTACAACAAGCAAGTAGCAGCAGCTGCAGCAAGTAGCAGCAGTGGCAGCAAGTAGAAGCAGCTGCAGCAAGTAGCAGCAGTGGCAGCAAGTAGAAGCAGCTGCAGCAAGTAGCAGCAGTGGCAGCAAGTAGAAGCAGCTGCAGCAAGTAGCAGCAGTGGCAGCAAGTAGAAGCAGCTGCAGCAAGTAGCAGCAGTGGCAGCAAGTAGAAGCAGTAGGTCAGGGCGGCGCGGCTCGGGCAGGTAGGGCAGCGCAACGGCGGGCCTATGCACGGTGCGCGGCGGCCCGTAGGGTGCAGCTGCGCGCAGGCCGCAGCTGGGTTCGTGCTGCAGTGAAGCGCGAGCTGCAGTTAAGTACGAGCTGCAGCAGCCTACACGCGATCGCCACTGCGCGCGGGCTGCGACCTGCGGGCGGGCGGCGGTGGGTCGAGCGCCGTCCCAGGGGCGAGCGGTCGAGCGTGGGCTGCAGTCGCGCGCGGGCGGCGGCCTACGGGCGGGGCTGCGTCGCGCTGGAAGGCCAGCCGGGCCGGTCGACGGGCGGCTAGCGGGCTGCTCGTGGGCGGGGCTAGTCGCGCGGGCGGCCTACGGTCGTCGCGCGCGCGATTCGGGCCGCGCGTGGGCTGCTGGCGGGCTGCTCGCGCTAGAAAAAAGAAAAGGGGCCACGCGCGGGCGGCTAGCGAGCTGCGCACGGGCAGCGTGAGAGAGAGAGAGGCGCACGAGGGCGCCTCTAGCGGAATGGTGGGCCCTTAGGTAAGTGGTCCTAGGTCTAGAACCTAAGCTCTTAATACCATCTCAGAATAGTGTGAAGGTATGGTGGATTAGGGTTTGGAGGGTGGTACAAACAAGTGTCGAGCAAGTTTCTGTACCCCCTAAGGCTAAACCCACTACAGCCTACATAATATTAAACATATAATTTGACAGAAAGAACCTTTTTATCTCCAGCAGGTCTCCTCCAGGTGTAGCTGGAGTTTTTGTGAGGTTAGCTGAAACATCTTTATCATTTATCCAATACCAGTATGTTACATTGGCAAGCACATGTAATCAAAAACTATTTTGCAGCCTAATCACCACTGCCACCATCATCATCCCCAGCGCCACTTGCAACAGGGGCCACCTTGCAGGAGAAGTCAATGGTTGCCCGCCCACTGCAAAGGAACAGCAGAGGAACACAGGTCGGCTTAGGAACGCAGTAGGACCAAACTCTATTCCTGGACCCCGTAAAACCAGTACCAGCAATAAGGGTAAGCGCAAAACATGTTGCTGTCCATTCATTACTCGCCCCTCACTACATACACGAGAAGTAGACATGACTTACACGCTGCCGCTGTGGTAAGCAAGTGTCTTGCTGTTGGAGGGGGAGTGCGCCCAGATGAGGTTGTTCAGACCACTTGGCTTCACCGGAATAGTGCCGCCGGTGGCACCACGGCGGAACCTGTGCCGAAAAAAAAAAAAGGAATGGAAGGGTGGGGCCAAGAGTGGGAGGCAGGAGATTGACGGAGGGTCGAGGGATAAAGATAGATACTTACAAGTCAGAGGGGCTAGTGGCATAGCAGTGGCATAGCAGGGTGTGCCTCCCAGCCACACGTGCACTTACATCATGACAGTGGAGCCGGTGCCCCTCTTGAACACAGTCGGGTACGCTCCCAAGGGGATGGCAGCGGGTTTCAGCGACTGCATCGTGTACCCCGTAATGAGGTACGTGCCGAGCGTGCCGCCCATGCGGTTACCAATGATCGCATCGGCCGGCGCCATCCGGCCGTTGCTGGTCCAGGCGAGTGCGAGCCAGCCGTTGTTGGCGCCGCTGCCGGGCTTGGCCTCCATGGCGATTTCGATGAGGTTCGGGTTCACCTGCCGCCAGTGAACGAACAGCCTGAAAATTGATGGTGGATCACAGGAAGCGACGGGGAGGGGAGGGAGAGATAGAAAGGTCTGGTGAGACGGCGCCCGGAAAACAGCAGGCACGTGCACTGGCAGCGTGAATTGACGCCTCGGCAAAGACTCATGGCTCATTCCTCATACAGCATGGGCCATCAGATATGACGCGTGCACGTGCGCGTGACCTTTCACCTCTCATTGCGCACCACTCGTCACGCATTGTACAACGCGGCGACTCACAGGGGTTTGAGCTGGAGCATGTAGGTGAAGCCCGGAAGGGACGACCAGGGGCAGAGCTTAGAGCGCTTGGACGGCGGCACCACGGGCACGGGCGGCGGCTTCGTAACCGGCGGGCTGGGCGACGGCTTGCCGGGTGACGAGCCGTCGCACGAGAAATCCACCTGCGTGCTTCCGCTGATGGGGGAGCGTAGGGGATGAGGGGGAGGGAAGGGATTCCGTAGGGAGAGTGTGAGAAGACGAGGCGAGAGGCGCGGGCGGAGCAGGAATGGCGGAGAGCTGAAGCGATCAACGTGGCGGAAGGGATTCCGGAAAGGAACTTTGAGCAATGCAATGGTGGTGTCCACTGTGGTGACCGCAGCTTTATTCGTGGTAGTAAGAGCGTTCATGCGACGGAAGAATATAGAAATTGCGAGCAGAGGCTCCGGGAATGCGGGTATGCAACGGGGATGCGAGTACGCAACGGGAATGCGGATACGCAACGGGGAAGCGGGTACGCAACGGGGAAGCGGGTACTCAACGGGGAAGCGGGTACGAAACGGGGAAGCGGGTACGCAACGGGGAAGCGGGTACGCAACGGGGAAGCGGGTACGCAACGGGGAAGCGGGTACGCAACGGGGAAGCGGGTACGCAACGGGGAAGCGGGTACGCAACGGGGAAGCGGGTACGCAACGGGGAAGCGGGTACGCAACGGGGAAGCGGGTACGCAACGGGGAAGCGGGTACGCAACGGGGAAGCGGGTACGCAACGGGGAAGCGGGTACGCAACGGGGAAGCGGGTACGCAACGGGGAAGCGGGTACGCAACGGGGAAGCGGGTACGCAACGGGGAAGCGGGTACGCAACGGGGAAGCGGGTACGCAACGGGGAAGCGGGTACGCAACGGGGAAGCGGGTACGCAACGGGGAAGCGGGTACGCAACGGGGAAGCGGGTACGCAACGGGGAAGCGGGTACGCAACGGGGAAGCGGGTACGCAACGGGGAAGCGGGTACGCAACGGGGAAGCGGGTACGCAACGGGGAAGCGGGTACGCAACGGGGAAGCGGGTACGCAACGGGGAAGCGGGTACGCAACGGGGAAGCGGGTACGCAACGGGGAAGCGGGTACGCAACGGGGAAGCGGGTACGCAACGGGGAAGCGGGTACGCAGCGAGAATGCGGCGCGGGCTGAGAGCAAAGGCGAGCTTGATTTGGAAGGTGAACGGGATACAGTCAGAACGTCATAGGCGCGAGGCTCACATGTTGGCTCCGTGGTAAGCGACGGACTTGCTGCCGTCGTTCGAGTACCCCCAGATGATCTTATTCACGCCCTTCACGCGCACGGGAACGGCTCCCCCGTCGCCCACGCTGCGCGTGAATTTCATCACGGTTTTCCCGCCGCTCGTCGCGCAGCTCTTCCCGCCGAGGTTGATCCCGCGCGCGGGCGCGACGGAGGAGTAGCTCGCGACGTGGTACGTGGAGACGGCGTTGCCCGGGTTCCCGACGACGGCGTCCGACGGCGCCATGAGCCCGCTGAAGGAGAAAGCGACGGAGAACCACCCGCGCGCCACGGCGCCCGAGGCCTCGACGGCGAGCGGGATGGACTTGCCGTTGTTCTTGGCGTTCCAGTGCATCACAATGCTGGGAGGGGGGAGGAGACGGGGGTTGGGTGGGTGGGAGGGAGGACATTGGGAGAGTCAATGTGGGAAGCAGTGTGGTTTAGCTGCATTTCGCGAACTCTCGCTTTTCGCTGTCAAAATAATTCGTACACATCGCGACGTACGACGCGCGACGCCGCGCCGCGCTTGGCACACTAACAATAAAGACGCTCACATACGCCTACTACAGAAAGCTCGCATAATTCGCCCATCATCGCGTCTTACCCGGGGGCGAGCTGGAGCACGGAGGTGAATCCGGGCATGGCGGACTTGCTGCACGACGACAGCGCGCCCGCCACAGCCCTTGCGATGGGCGCCGCCGCTGTCGCGGCGGTAGTGGCGGCGGTGGCGGTGGAAGCGGAGGAGTTAGCTGCTGCTTGTTGGGCGGCTGCGGTGGCGGCGAAGGAGATTGTCGCGAGGAGCAGTAGAAACGCCACGGGCTGGCGCACCGTCGCGTAACTTCTGACATTTCCTGCCAGAATGCTCTGCTCTCTTCTTCCAGCCATGATGGGCTTTCGGCGAGACACTCTGGCTGACGCGAGATGTAGGGTATTCGCAGCTCGAGAGCCGAACTATCTCGCCCCACACAGCCGAATGCCTCTACCTCCGGTACTTGAAGCTGCTTCAATTCAGCTCAATCGAAGAGTCGCTGAATCGAATGGATTGCTTGTGTTGAAAGCGCAGAGATAAATGTGCGGCGAGCGGAACTAGTGACCCCTGGGAGAGAGAGTGCAGGGAGCCTCGGTGGCGGCAGAGAGGGCCGAAACCGAACCGATTAGACCCAAGCCGAGGCTTGCGCCTTCGTTTTCCACAGCTGAACGAACTTGGGCCGGACACGAGCCATGGTCGGTGGTGTGGTGCGGGTTCCACCCTGGCAGCGTTTCCCTCCTTTCATTGGCCGAACTTTACAAGAAACAGCTCGAACAAGAAGGCGGTGCGCTACCGCTGGTACGCTACCACACCAAGGCGGAAGGTGGACTCTCGAACCACCAATGAGGCAGGTGTCGCAATTATGCCGAGCCTAAGACTGACCCCGCCGCGGTCTTCATAACCTCCCCCCAGGCCTAGAACAAGAGCTTGCGGCACAAGCTCTGCAGCAGCCCCTGGCCACAACTTGCACATCAACCTTTGTTGTGATTCGTTAATGAAAGGGCGTTCTTGCTGGGGAAGCGTGTCGAACAAACGAGCAGCAATAGCACAATCCCAGCACGAGAATCTTCACAGCGGAAATGACGTGGCCTTTTCTGCTTGGTGAGTTCTCCGACTCTCCATGTCGGTGAGCTGCAAACCAACACGAGCCTCTCGGATTAGCAGCTGCCGACGTGGAAAAGCACAGCTCTCCAGGGGTTTGGGGGAACGTTGACCTACACGATAAATACAGTTACTTAATGCACAAAAATGTATTTATTCATTAGCATGTTCAATCAATCACCCTTTCTGTACCTGATTACCATTTCTGTATGAAGCTGTTTTGTGGCTACTTATATGTTATTTATATGGATCAGATCGAACCTACGTAGATTTTCGATTTGAGAAGAAGTCATATTACATCAGCTTATTTTTAGCTTGTATAACTTCTTGTATGGCTTGAGCTACATAGTTTATTCGGCCAACCTGAAATTGTCTGGCTTGAAAGCCTTCGCCAAGCTGATGGGATATTCGCGAAATGCACGACGACGAATGAGGTCCGCAGACCTTTACGATGACTGCGAACGGTGCGAATGAGAGGTTCCATCTCTACGTGGACTGATTTTGCCTTACGTGGCAATCGAAACGGTTCCTCGGGTGACCACAAGCCTATGTCAGAGGTCTGGCACGCTGACAGATCAGTTTTCATAACAATCAAGGTTCCACATTTGTGGTGCTCCACTAGTGGTCACTATGCTCGAGTTGTGCCTTGTAGGCTCGGGCCACGTCATTCAGTCGAGGGATTGGTAGCCTTCCATCAATGGATCAGGCTTGCGCTGACCACAGCTTCTTTGACATCCCCTGTGGCCCATCTGTGTTCGGTTTGCCATTTCCTGCATAGACTGGCAGCCCCTTCTGTCTGACGAACAATCTCCAAGGTAGCTCTGTCACTTGCCAACCATGGCTGCCGCTCTCTCCAGCTCCGTGTCTGCTGGCATTCAGACGAAGGCACTCGGCCTCAAGGCCGCTGCTCCCAAGAAGAGCGTTGGTGCATTCGGCAGTGAGATGCACAGCGCTTCCCTGAGCAGCACCTTCTCAGGCAAGCAGATTGCCGCTAAGGCCTCCAGCAGGTCCCAAGCCGCTGGCAAGAGGACCGTCCTTGTTGTGTGCAAGGCCGGTTTCTGGTGAGAAGACTGTTGTGGTTGGACTTGCCGCTGACTCAGGATGCGGAAAGTCTACCTTCATGAGGCGCATGACCGGCGTGTTCGGTGGCTCTGCTGCTCCTCCCAAGGGCGGCAACCCCGACTCCAACACCCTTCTTAGCGACATGACCACCGTCATCTGCCTTGATGACTACCACTCCCTTGACCGCAATGGCCGTAAGGTCGCCAATGTTACTGCTCTTGACCCCAAGGCCAACAACTTTGACCTGATGTACGAGCAGGTCAAGGCCCTCAAGGAGGGGAAGTCCGTCATGAAGCCCATCTACAACCACGTGTCTGGTCTCCTGGACCCCCCGGAACTGATCGAGTCCCCCAAGATTCTGGTCATTGAGGGTCTCCACCCCATGTATGTAATCTTCACATTGATACTTCAGACTTGCAGAACGCTTGCGAATGAACAGACTGACGGAGCACGTGTTTTTATCTTTCAGGTATGATGAGCGCGTGCGTGACCTGATTGACTTCAGCATCTACCTTGACATCAGCGATGAGGTCAAGTTCGCCTGGAAGATTCAGAGGGATATGGCTGAGCGTGGCCACAGCCTGGAGAGCATCAAGGCATCCATCGAAGCGAGAAAGCCCGACTTCGATGCCTACATTGGTAAGCATTGGTCTTATTCCGTTCCCCCTACGGACCTGCAGGCCAAGTTCGCTAACGTGTAAATTCTCTTTGTTCCCCTGTTCCAGATCCCCAGAAGCAGCACGCGGATGTTGTCATCCAGGTGCTCCCCACTCAGCTCATCCCTGACGACAACGAGGGCAAGATCCTTCGCGTGCGCATGATCCAGAAGGAGGGCCTCGAGAACTTCGACCCCGTGTACCTGTTCGACGAGGGCTCCAGCATCTCGTGGATTCCCTGCGGAAGGAAGTTGACGTGCTCGTACCCCGGCATCAAGTTCTACTACGGCCCTGACACCTACTACGGCCACGAGGTACGTTGACTCGCAGCTCCTCGTACAATCATGAACAATGCAGTGAACTGCATAAGAAAATACTTAACGTAAAGTAATTAACCTTGGCTAATTTCCACACTGCTGCTTCTTCAGGTGTCCGTGCTGGAAATGGACGGGCAGTTCGACAAGCTTGACGAGCTCATCTATGTGGAGAGCCACTTGAGCAACACATCCACGAAGTTCTACGGTGAGGTGACCCAGCAAATGCTGAAGAACGCCACCTTCCCCGGCAGCACCAACGGCACTGGCCTCTTCCAGACAATGGTTGGCCTGAAGCTCCGTGAGGCTTATGAGCGTATCATCTCCAAGTCTGCAGTTACTGTGTAAACCTGTAATGACTTACCTATATGAACATTGTTATCAGACAGAAAGTCTGCTAGTCGAACAGCATCCAAAACCAGAGGAACACTATCTGAAGATGGAAATGGGTGTAGGTATGGTGCTATGCTATGGTATGCCTGAGTAGAGTATGTTGCCCAACGATGGCAGAGGGTAGGCTGAGGGAGGCCTCAACCCTAAAATAGCATCCTTTTAGCTAGAGGTTTGTTTTTTCCCCTGGGCAACAAGCTCATTGGTATGAGTCTGCAACCGTGTCTTGCCTTAGGTAGTGTTCAAGACATGAAGTGAGCACTGCGGGTAGTTTGGAAAATGGTTGAAATGACAAACATAACGTAAGTATTCCTTTAAGCATGAGAACATACGTACATGTACCATCAAGTTGGAACACCAAAACCTGGTTGGCATGACATGGCACATCTAGAGCTCATTTCTTGTCCCCTTGACCCTTGGTGGCAGCTGCCAGAAGGTTCTGTGCCTCTGAGATGCCATCCACAATGGCACGTGTCAGCCAGCTCACCCCAACACGTGCCCTATGCTCATTGGTTGGCAACCTGTACAGGTATGCTAGCTTGCGCGCTGGAGCACAGGGTCATTGCATGGACAGGGGAGACCGCAAGGACAGAAGGGAACCATTTTACTCGAGTGGGTAGGCGAGATAGGCAAACAGTAAGAGCTGAAGCAGAAAGCAAGCGAGCACTGACAAATGGAACATATCATGAGAGGGAGCTAATATCAGCAATCAGCAGGAATGCAGGTGCACATGCAAGAAAACACTGTTGCAGGCTCTGATGGAGGAGATGCAGGTGCTCAGTCATGCACACAAGGTTGCAGGCAGACATGCCATTAAGAGCTCACCTGTGTGTGCTGCGCGCCCCTCAATGAGGAAGTCATCAATGAATCCCACCGAAGCTGCTGCGTCCTTGGACCCCAGTAGCACCAGCTCGCCCAAATGCTGGTACCTGGGGGAAGGGAGACGTGCAGGCAGAGAGAAAGTACAATGGTACAAGCGACAGGTAGCTGAATCATTGTGAAATCCGGGAAGGGTGCCATTGCAATGGTGCTTTGGATGGAATAAGATTGAACGGTGAGAGGGTTTGACGCGTGCATAGTTGAAGCAAGCGAATATAAACGAGGGAAACATTCTCACCTGAAGGGCAGCAGGGGGCGGTTGTTGATGGCCGCCCAGATGTTCCACCCCACGTAGTCCGCCTGCTGGAATGCCACCTGCCAAGATGAACAATGCCGGAGAATTGTGACCCACATGAGAGCAATGAAGTAGATTATTTGGTCTCTGGCCGCCCGTGTGTTCCGACTGGCACAGATAGCCTGCAAGAAGGGCACTTGATCCCGAAGTGACAGAATAATGTAAGGACATCAGTTGCTGAGCACAGCGCATATGGAAAGGCACCTGATCCTGCAGAACTACAATTACTACTACCTGAGAAAACTGACCACAACCTGGGAAATCACCTGACGGGCATCACCAGCAAGCTCTCACCTGGGCTGTGGCAGGCAGTGGGCGCCCATTGCCGTCCGGCACACAAGCCGCATCCCCGAGCGCAAACACCCTAGTGAGCCCCTTCACTCGCAGACTCTCCTCCACCTCCGCCTGCCCCCTCGCTGTCCGCTTCAACCACTGCACCGCCCCCTCCCCTCCTGCTGCTCCTGATGCTTCTGATTCTGACGAAGCTGAGGAAGGTTGCACAGTGGGGAGCACAGGCGAGCTGCCAACGGTCCAGAGGACAATATCAGCCTCCATCTCTCTCTCTCTCTCTGTGCCTCGAGGTGATGCTGACTCGAGGAAGAGGCGGGCTGCTGGCACGGCAAAGGGAGATGGGTCTGAGGAGGAGGAGGAGGAGGAGGACGAGGAAGAGGAGGGGGGTGAGGAGGAGGAGGAAGCGGAGGGGGATGAGGAAGATGAGGAAGAGGAGTGGGCAGCATCAGCCATGCGTGTGACCTTGGTGCCCAGGCGAAGGTGCACTCCCCTCTCCTTGAGCGCCTGTGCAGAACGCAATCGCATGGGAGGGACGGGCAGAGGAGGGGTTGCAGTGGCAGGGGGGGGAGAGACAGCCCCGGAAGGAGGTAGGGGAAACTCAGGAGAGAGGAGTTCACGGCCTTAGCATGGCACGCTGCACGCACACTCAAGGAGAAAAGAAAGAAAGCATGCGATTTTATACACCCACTACGTGAAGTTGAAGAACCAATCATAACCGCTGACGACAAGGAAACACAACCTTAAAGATTGAACATACCCGCTCTGCAGCGCGTCTGTTGCCGGGAGCAGCAGCAGAACACACAAGTTTTGGGACGTCTCAAAAGAGTATTTGAGTATTGAAAAGTCTCAAAACTGAGAATGAAACGTACCCGCTCTGCAGCGCGTCTGTTGCCGGGAGCAGCAGCGGGGCACACGACGGGGGCAGGGTCAACAATCTCAATGCGACCCTTGCTGCCCAGGCGCTCCCCCACCGTGCATGCGAGCTCCACCCCCGCATAGCCCGCCCCCACCACCACCACTCGGATGGGCGCTGGGTCCTCCCCGGCTTCTTTGGCTGCCTGCCATCGCTTCTCCAGCAGCAACAGCCGGCGATCCACCGCCTGTGAGGGGGGAGGGAGGAGGTGGGAGATAAACAGCAGCATTTGGAGTCCCATTGCTGCCCAGGCGCACCCCCACCACCACGCGGATTGGCGCTGGGTCCTCCCCGGCTTCTTTAGCTGCCTGCCATTGCTACTCCAGCAGCAGCAGCCACCGATCCACCGCCTGTGAGAGGGGAGCGAGGAAGCATGGGTTCGAAGAGTGGAATCGATTTGTAATAAGACAAGGCGAGATGGCATGACGCATAGTGTGTGGGAGCAAGCACACTGAAGCATGTCCACGCTACAACACAACACACTAAACCACACGGCACCATATCAGACCGAGCCTACCCCACAATACCATATTGCAGCACAGCATCAGCTCGAACCATGATGTATGCATCACCACACAGCATCACACCCCACCATACCGCACTCTACCGCAGCGTACCAGAGCATCGTCGAGAGTGCTGAAGGGCAGAGCTCGCCCCTTGGCGCCTGGAGCGAAGGCCATGTTGGTCTGCGCTCCCAACGCCAACACCAGCCTGACAGATGGGGTTGCGGGAGGGGCGGGTAGGAAAGGGGGGGAGAGGAGAGGATGATGGTGAAAGTAAGGGAGACGGGATGATGGAAGGAGGGGGGCGCCTGGAGCGAAGGCCATGTTGGTCTGCGCTCCCAACGCCAACACCAGCCTGACAACACAGTAAGGCAGGGGGGGAGAGAGGGCAGGTCAGGTGGGGAAGGAGAGAGGCACAGAAAGAGAGGGGTTGAGGAGCAGAGGGACGCATGAAGCTGGCAGCGGCAGCGGCGCACTGCAAGGTGCCAGGGCGTGAGTGCAGGCGAGGGTGACGACAGATGGGGACAGGTGGGAATTCCAAGGCGTGAACCTACCAATCGTATTCCACCTCCATTCCAGAAGCCAATCGCACGCGTCCACCTGTATCTCCTGCCACGTCAGCAGCAGCAGAGGCAGCCCCGCCCTTGGTCACGTGCACTGCCTGCACGCCGTCCTGCAGGAACGCCACTTGGGTGCTCCTGAGCAGGTCTGTGAACTTGGGTGCTATCTCCCACACCGTCACGTCTGGTGGTGGGAGGCAAGAAAGAGAGAGAGAGGGAGCGAGTGAGTTCACCTTTTGGATGTGGCACAATGCGAGGCATGATGGCCGGATTGGTTGGGAGCAGACGGGGCCAAGCCGACCACAAGCATGAGCATGAGAAGGAGCACAACAAGGAGAATGAGAAGGTGTAGGAGAAGGAGTAGGAGCATAATGAGCATCAGCAGCGCATGGGGGAGGTATCTACCTTGCGAGAGCAGCTCGTAGAGCAGCGGTTTGAACACGAAGCGCTCTGATTGGTCCACCAGCAGCACCTGCGGGCGGCGCTCGTCGCTCCACAGCAGCGAGTCGAGCCTCAGCGCCGCGTACAGCCCGCCGAATCCCCCTCCCAGTACACACACGCGTGGTCTCTGTATTGGAGGGAGCGCGGGGGGAAAGGTGGAGAGGGGGATGAGGGAATCGGCGCTCGTCGCTCCACAGCAGCGAGTACAGCCCGCCGAAGCCGCCTCCCAGCACGCACACGCGCGGCCGCTGTGAGGGGGAAAGGGGAGGAGAGGGTGGAGGGGGGCTGAGATGCAGGCGACAACATGCGGGGAGAGAGGCGGGAAGCGAGCAGGAAGGGAGGGGGGACCGAGTAATGGTAGAAGTCAGGAGGCGGGAGAGTGGGGAAGGAAGGATGGGGAAGAAGAGGGCGAGAGAGGTGGCGGTGACACTGAGAAACCCGCAACACAGCGGGATGCGACACAGGGGGATGCGACACATGCGACACAGGGGGATGCGACACAGGGGGATGCGACACAGGGGGATGCGACACAGGGGGATGCGACACAGGGGGATGCGACACAGGGGGATGCGACACAGGGGGATGCGACACAGGGGGATGCGACACAGGGGGATGCGACACAGGGGGATGCGACACAGGGGGATGCGACACAGGGGGATGCGACACAGGGGGATGCGACACAGGGGGATGCGACACAGGGGGATGCGACACAGGGGGATGCGACACAGGGGGATGCGACACAGGGGGATGCGACACAGGGGGATGCGACACAGGGGGATGCGACACAGGGGGATGCGACACAGGGGGATGCGACACAGGGGGATGCGACACAGGGGGATGCGACACAGGGGGATGCGACACAGGGGGATGCGACACAGGGGGATGCGACACAGGGGGATGCGACACAGGGGGATGCGACACAGGGGGATGCGACACAGGGGGATGCGACACAGGGGGATGCGACACAGGGGGATGCGACACAGGGGGATGCGACACAGGGGGATGCGACACAGGGGGATGCGACACAGGGGGATGCGACACAGGGGGATGCGACACAGGGGGATGCGACACAGGGGGATGCGACACAGGGGGATGCGACACAGGGGGATGCGACACAGGGGGATGCGACACAGGGGGATGCGACACAGGGGGATGCGACACAGGGGGATGCGACACAGGGGGATGCGACACAGGGGGATGCGACACAGGGGGATGCGACACAGGGGGATGCGACACAGGGGGATGCGACACAGGGGGATGCGACACAGGGGGATGCGACACAGGGGGATGCGACACAGGGGGATGCGACACAGGGGGATGCGACACAGGGGGATGCGACACAGGGGGATGCGACACAGGGGGATGCGACACAGGGGGATGCGACACAGGGGGATGCGACACAGGGGGATGCGACACAGGGGGATGCGACACAGGGGGATGCGACACAGGGGGATGCGACACAGGGGGATGCGACACAGGGGGATGCGACACAGGGGGATGCGACACAGGGGGATGCGACACAGGGGGATGCGACACAGGGGGATGCGACACAGGGGGATGCGACACAGGGGGATGCGACACAGGGGGATGCGACACAGGGGGATGCGACACAGGGGGATGCGACACAGGGGGATGCGACACAGGGGGATGCGACACAGGGGGATGCGACACAGGGGGATGCGACACAGGGGGATGCGACACAGGGGGATGCGACACAGGGGGATGCGACACAGGGGGATGCGACACAGGGGGATGCGACACAGGGGGATGCGACACAGGGGGATGCGACACAGGGGGATGCGACACAGGGGGATGCGACACAGGGGGATGCGACACAGGGGGATGCGACACAGGGGGATGCGACACAGGGGGATGCGACACAGGGGGATGCGACACAGGGGGATGCGACACAGGGGGATGCGACACAGGGGGATGCGACACAGGGGGATGCGACACAGGGGGATGCGACACAGGGGGATGCGACACAGGGGGATGCGACACAGGGGGATGCGACACAGGGGGATGCGACACAGGGGGATGCGACACAGGGGGATGCGACACAGGGGGATGCGACACAGGGGGATGCGACACAGGGGGATGCGACACAGGGGGATGCGACACAGGGGGATGCGACACAGGGGGATGCGACACAGGGGGATGCGACACAGGGGGATGCGACACAGGGGGATGCGACACAGGGGGATGCGACACAGGGGGATGCGACACAGGGGGATGCGACACAGGGGGATGCGACACAGGGGGATGCGACACAGGGGGATGCGACACAGGGGGATGCGACACAGGGGGATGCGACACAGGGGGATGCGACACAGGGGGATGCGACACAGGGGGATGCGACACAGGGGGATGCGACACAGGGGGATGCGACACAGGGGGATGCGACACAGGGGGATGCGACACAGGGGGATGCGACACAGGGGGATGCGACACAGGGGGATGCGACACAGGGGGATGCGACACAGGGGGATGCGACACAGGGGGATGCGACACAGGGGGATGCGACACAGGGGGATGCGACACAGGGGGATGCGACACAGGGGGATGCGACACAGGGGGATGCGACACAGGGGGATGCGACACAGGGGGATGCGACACAGGGGGATGCGACACAGGGGGATGCGACACAGGGGGATGCGACACAGGGGGATGCGACACAGGGGGATGCGACACAGGGGGATGCGACACAGGGGGATGCGACACAGGGGGATGCGACACAGGGGGATGCGACACAGGGGGATGCGACACAGGGGGATGCGACACAGGGGGATGCGACACAGGGGGATGCGACACAGGGGGATGCGACACAGGGGGATGCGACACAGGGGGATGCGACACAGGGGGATGCGACACAGGGGGATGCGACACAGGGGGATGCGACACAGGGGGATGCGACACAGGGGGATGCGACACAGGGGGATGCGACACAGGGGGATGCGACACAGGGGGATGCGACACAGGGGGATGCGACACAGGGGGATGCGACACAGGGGGATGCGACACAGGGGGATGCGACACAGGGGGATGCGACACAGGGGGATGCGACACAGGGGGATGCGACACAGGGGGATGCGACACAGGGGGATGCGACACAGGGGGATGCGACACAGGGGGATGCGACACAGGGGGATGCGACACAGGGGGATGCGACACAGGGGGATGCGACACAGGGGGATGCGACACAGGGGGATGCGACACAGGGGGATGCGACACAGGGGGATGCGACACAGGGGGATGCGACACAGGGGGATGCGACACAGGGGGATGCGACACAGGGGGATGCGACACAGGGGGATGCGACACAGGGGGATGCGACACAGGGGGATGCGACACAGGGGGATGCGACACAGGGGGATGCGACACAGGGGGATGCGACACAGGGGGATGCGACACAGGGGGATGCGACACAGGGGGATGCGACACAGGGGGATGCGACACAGGGGGATGCGACACAGGGGGATGCGACACAGGGGGATGCGACACAGGGGGATGCGACACAGGGGGATGCGACACAGGGGGATGCGACACAGGGGGATGCGACACAGGGGGATGCGACACAGGGGGATGCGACACAGGGGGATGCGACACAGGGGGATGCGACACAGGGGGATGCGACACAGGGGGATGCGACACAGGGGGATGCGACACAGGGGGATGCGACACAGGGGGATGCGACACAGGGGGATGCGACACAGGGGGATGCGACACAGGGGGATGCGACACAGGGGGATGCGACACAGGGGGATGCGACACAGGGGGATGCGACACAGGGGGATGCGACACAGGGGGATGCGACACAGGGGGATGCGACACAGGGGGATGCGACACAGGGGGATGCGACACAGGGGGATGCGACACAGGGGGATGCGACACAGGGGGATGCGACACAGGGGGATGCGACACAGGGGGATGCGACACAGGGGGATGCGACACAGGGGGATGCGACACAGGGGGATGCGACACAGGGGGATGCGACACAGGGGGATGCGACACAGGGGGATGCGACACAGGGGGATGCGACACAGGGGGATGCGACACAGGGGGATGCGACACAGGGGGATGCGACACAGGGGGATGCGACACAGGGGGATGCGACACAGGGGGATGCGACACAGGGGGATGCGACACAGGGGGATGCGACACAGGGGGATGCGACACAGGGGGATGCGACACAGGGGGATGCGACACAGGGGGATGCGACACAGGGGGATGCGACACAGGGGGATGCGACACAGGGGGATGCGACACAGGGGGATGCGACACAGGGGGATGCGACACAGGGGGATGCGACACAGGGGGATGCGACACAGGGGGATGCGACACAGGGGGATGCGACACAGGGGGATGCGACACAGGGGGATGCGACACAGGGGGATGCGACACAGGGGGATGCGACACAGGGGGATGCGACACAGGGGGATGCGACACAGGGGGATGCGACACAGGGGGATGCGACACAGGGGGATGCGACACAGGGGGATGCGACACAGGGGGATGCGACACAGGGGGATGCGACACAGGGGGATGCGACACAGGGGGATGCGACACAGGGGGATGCGACACAGGGGGATGCGACACAGGGGGATGCGACACAGGGGGATGCGACACAGGGGGATGCGACACAGGGGGATGCGACACAGGGGGATGCGACACAGGGGGATGCGACACAGGGGGATGCGACACAGGGGGATGCGACACAGGGGGATGCGACACAGGGGGATGCGACACAGGGGGATGCGACACAGGGGGATGCGACACAGGGGGATGCGACACAGGGGGATGCGACACAGGGGGATGCGACACAGGGGGATGCGACACAGGGGGATGCGACACAGGGGGATGCGACACAGGGGGATGCGACACAGGGGGATGCGACACAGGGGGATGCGACACAGGGGGATGCGACACAGGGGGATGCGACACAGGGGGATGCGACACAGGGGGATGCGACACAGGGGGATGCGACACAGGGGGATGCGACACAGGGGGATGCGACACAGGGGGATGCGACACAGGGGGATGCGACACAGGGGGATGCGACACAGGGGGATGCGACACAGGGGGATGCGACACAGGGGGATGCGACACAGGGGGATGCGACACAGGGGGATGCGACACAGGGGGATGCGACACAGGGGGATGCGACACAGGGGGATGCGACACAGGGGGATGCGACACAGGGGGATGCGACACAGGGGGATGCGACACAGGGGGATGCGACACAGGGGGATGCGACACAGGGGGATGCGACACAGGGGGATGCGACACAGGGGGATGCGACACAGGGGGATGCGACACAGGGGGATGCGACACAGGGGGATGCGACACAGGGGGATGCGACACAGGGGGATGCGACACAGGGGGATGCGACACAGGGGGATGCGACACAGGGGGATGCGACACAGGGGGATGCGACACAGGGGGATGCGACACAGGGGGATGCGACACAGGGGGATGCGACACAGGGGGATGCGACACAGGGGGATGCGACACAGGGGGATGCGACACAGGGGGATGCGACACAGGGGGATGCGACACAGGGGGATGCGACACAGGGGGATGCGACACAGGGGGATGCGACACAGGGGGATGCGACACAGGGGGATGCGACACAGGGGGATGCGACACAGGGGGATGCGACACAGGGGGATGCGACACAGGGGGATGCGACACAGGGGGATGCGACACAGGGGGATGCGACACAGGGGGATGCGACACAGGGGGATGCGACACAGGGGGATGCGACACAGGGGGATGCGACACAGGGGGATGCGACACAGGGGGATGCGACACAGGGGGATGCGACACAGGGGGATGCGACACAGGGGGATGCGACACAGGGGGATGCGACACAGGGGGATGCGACACAGGGGGATGCGACACAGGGGGATGCGACACAGGGGGATGCGACACAGGGGGATGCGACACAGGGGGATGCGACACAGGGGGATGCGACACAGGGGGATGCGACACAGGGGGATGCGACACAGGGGGATGCGACACAGGGGGATGCGACACAGGGGGATGCGACACAGGGGGATGCGACACAGGGGGATGCGACACAGGGGGATGCGACACAGGGGGATGCGACACAGGGGGATGCGACACAGGGGGATGCGAGAGCTGGATGAGAAAGTTGGATAAAGCATCCCCTGAAACGTCCCCCTGATATACACCCCTCGTATTCTCCCTCCCTCCCTCCTCCCTCCTTCTCTCCTTCCCTCCCTCCCTCCCCAGGGCTTCCTACTGACCGTCGGATCAGGCCACGTGTACATGCCGCCTTCCCCCTCGCATCTCGTCACGCCCACTCCCCTCCCGCCAGCTGCGGGCGGAACCGTCCCCACGTAGCGCCTCCCCCCCGCGCCTGCTCCCCCTGGCCCTCCCCCTCCCCCCGCTGCGGGGAACAGCCTGCGCGCGCCAGTGACGGCGGAATGCGCCAGCCACGGCTGGTACCACCACGCCTTGGCGCCACGTGGCGGCGGGTAATTGGCCGTCGGGCGACAGCTACGGAGCGCCGCGGCGGCGGGGGATGAGCGATTATGCGCGGAGGGGCTGTTCGTGTTGGCTGCGGTGGAGAGGTGTGATTGGAGAGCGTGAGTTGCGGCGGGGAAGGCGGCGGATTTGGCGGCGGGGAAGGCGGAGGCGGTGGAAGAGACACATCGGCCGCAGAGGCGATGCGCCATGGCTGTCAGCGAGCTGAGCGCCTGTAGGGAGCTGAAATCAGTGACTCTTGTGTTTCCAGTGACGCCTGCGCGGCGCGACGTGGTATGCGCACGCTGCGAGCAATTCGAGCACGAGCGACGCGATTCGGTCTCACGGTGCTCGAGGCGGCTGAACCACTCCTCCCACTGCCGCACGGCACGGGCGGCGGGCGGAAAGGCGAGCGCGTCGGAGAGCAGCACGAGGAGAGCGACAGCACGCGCGCAACGGAAGAAGAACGAGAGGATTTCGCGGACGTGCGCGAGCATGCCAGTAGCATCCAAGCGCGGAGGACGTGAGAGGAACGGAAGACGTTAGCGGACGGACAGAATTGCCAAAGCTAGCGCGCGACGCAAGGAACGGCGCTACGCTACTGCGCGAATGCTGGCTATGATCGATGTGACGAGATGGTCGCTGAATTCAACTCCTCCCAACTCGTTTTCTCTGCTGCTCGCTCTTCTGATGAGGAGCGGTGTGGAGGAAAGGGACGATGTGCACCAAGAACTGAGGAAGGGCCGCCACGTCACCTCTAGGTCGGGTGTGTCCCGCTAAGCGCCACGTATCTCAACTGTGGCACTCGATATACTCGCAGTGTAGTAAGCTGGTGCTACATGTAAATTTATGGCCTTTCAATGTAGTCACATGAGCAGTCATAATAAAACGCCATAAAAAGTGAAGCACAAGTACAACAATTATAAGCAACAGTATTCAAACGTTTCCCATCCATCATATGTTACAGCAGCACCCCCAATTAATAATTATGTACACCAATAACCTACTGCATGGGCCTGGTGCTTCTGGGGAGATGGTATGCCTCATACCCCTTCATGCTATCATGCCTCTCCAGTGCTCCTCTCAGTGCTTTCACTATCGTAAACTCGCCGGGTAGAGCCTTATTGTCAATGGCCCCCTTTCTCCTCACCACCACCACCCACTCCCCAAACTCCCCACCATCACCACTGTCACCACCATCACCACCGTCACTAATAGTTTTACCACGAGCATCGGCATCTAACGGCTCCACAGTGATGACGAACGATCCGACGGACGTGAGGAGATCGCCGCGCATGGTGATCAGCGTCAGCTCGGTGCCGTCCGATTGGTTGTCCACGCGCACGGGCAGAGGAAGGGGCAGCTCGGAGGAAAAAGACCAAAGGGTAGCCCACTGCTGGATGAATGCTACGAGCTGAACAATGGGGGAAATAGAGCAAAATGGGGGGAAATGGGTGGGGCGGATGGGGAGGATGGGGAGTGGGATGGAGCGAAGGGGAAGGTGGGAAGGTTAGAAAGGCAGCAATGAATTCTGCGTGCTGGCAATGTGGGGGGAGACGAGACCTGAGAATGAAATCAAGTTACAACTGAAGTGCAGACTTCAAGACCTGGGAAAAGACAACAGGAAACACAGCTGTACCCCTAATCCCCTCGTTCCCTCCTTTCCCACCACCACCACACCTGCCCCCCTCTCACGTCCTCCTTGACGCCCTCCCCAGCCGGCTGCGTGAGAATCTCCGATGATCCTGCCGTGTTTTTGAGGCGCCTGAAAAATTGCGGGTAGAGAGACGACTCTTGAGGCGCCTCAAATCTCTCACCTCCTCCTTGACGCCCTCGCCTGCCGGCTGTCTGAGAATCTCTGAAGATGCTGCCGTGCCCAGCATTGCATGCCACGGGAACCATCCCCCCTTCTTTTCTTCCTTTCCTCCCCCACCTCCTCCTCCTCCCTTTCCTCCTTCCTCCCCCCTCCCCCCACCTGCCTGCCTCCCACCTTCACGGCTACTCTCCCTGTTACCCTCACTGCTGCCGCCAGCGGTGCTGCTAGCTGCATTCGCCCTGGTCCACTGAGAATTCCCCTCCCCCCCATCCGCGCCTGACTCCCCCCCTGCCCCCCCCCACGCCCCCCATGCCTGCGCCCACTTCTGCCAAAACCCGCCGCCCAGCCCGTTCATCCTCGCGTCCGCCTCCTGACGTGCGGCACGCTGAGCTGGCGTCTCCTGCTCTGCTGCTGACGTGGCTGTGAGAGAGCGCGGAGGAGAGGGATGGGGAGATGAGGGTTGGAAGAGAACATGATAGAGTGCGCTGTGACATACATTGTAGAGCGCTGTAACGCAGGCACGTAACAGAACAGCGTTTTTGCAGCATACGGCAAGCCTTGTCACTCGTCATACACTGTGCCGCAAGAGAATATCATCATGACACAGCAATCCGAACAAGCTTGAAGATTTGCAGAGCAGTAATCAGCACACACACTAAGCCAGCTTTCTCCCCTGCCCGCACTAACCTGCCCGTCTGCGCTCCGCGCCCTCCCGCTGGCTCTCTAGCTTGCGCTTGAACTCGCGGGCAGCAGTGAAAATATTGATAGGGTGCCCGGGCTCCCAGCCGCCGCCAAAGATGCCCTTGCTCTCCCTCTCCCGCGGCTGCTCACGCAATGTGAAATGCACGGGCGCGTGCGGTGTGGGGCAAGCAGAGGGAGGCGGATGGCAGAAGGAAGATGAGTCGAGACACAGGGGGGGAGGTCGGGGAGGGGATTGATAAGGAGGAGGCGGGAGGGGAGTGAAAAGGAAATGGAGGGGCGGAATTGGGTTGCATGGGGTGAGACCTGCACAAATGGGGTTGAGTGGATTCGGATTAGACATGCACGGGGAACTCAAGATGGGCATTGAGTCGCCTTTTGAGTCGACCCAAAATGTGGCGTGTGCTATTGTAACGAGGTGGCTTTTGAGTCGACACAAAAGAGGAATTCGGATCAGACCTGCACGAGGAACTCGAGGATGGGCAGGTCGCCACGTGGCACTGTGTGGATGCAGCTGACGGGGCAGCTGTCGATGGCTGATTGGACGGCAGGCAGCGCGTCGCCCCACTGCATGTGCACACGTGCCACGGCCGCCTCGGCGTCAAAGAGGAACGTGCGACTGGCGGCGAACACACACTCGCGACAGCCTGGCGAGGGCAGGGGATGGGAGGGCGCGGGGTTGGGTGTGACGAGAAAGCAAATCAACGCACTATCATTGCGCCATCTTATCCATTCACCACAAGCACAAATGACAACAGGAACATTAGCTACAGTCACACCCGCCCACCCACCGATGAAAGCAGTCTCGTCCACGAAGATCGCCTGCTGCTGCCCCTCCGGCAGCCTGTGGGGATGGGGGTGCTGGTTAAACCATCACAGCGCTGTGTCATCCATTCGTCACACAAGCACAACCATCACCTACAGTCACACCCACCCACCGATGCAAGCAGCCTCGACGACGAAGGTAGGTGAGTGCATGGCACTGTGGGTACACCTGTGACTATACCGCACCTACAGTCACACCCACTCACCGATGCAAGCAGCCTCGTCGACGAAGATCGCCTGCTGCTGTCCCTCGGGCGCCGCCCACGCGCTGCGCGGCTGCCCCGTGAACCCCACGTACCCCGCCACGGCCGCGTCGCGCCACTCCTTCTCGTACGACGCGCGGCGCGTGTCGTCCATCAGCGTGTCGTACGCCTCGTTCAGCTTCAGCGCCATCTCGTGCGCCTGGCGGGGCGGCAGAAAACGGAGGGCGGCAGAGACGGTGGACGGGAGGTTTGAGCGAAGGCACTTGAAGGGCGAAACGCGGGGGACCGCACTGATTCCCCCTCCCACAAGCGGAAATTGCTCTCAAGTGTTAAGAGAAACAAACTCCACCGTGTGAAGGCTTTGAAGCTGGGCATTCAGCCTTCACATGTGCGTCAGTTCCGCGCGCGCACTAGCGCGCAAAATCATCGAGCGCGCACCTGAGCGCCCGCGATGTCGGGGTGGTACTTCTTCTGCAGCGCGCGGTACGCGCGGCGGATGTCGGCGGGGGGCGCGCCGACGGGCACGCCGAGAATCTGGTAATAGTCCAACCCCACGAACGCGAACGGCGACGGCACCGACGACGACGAGCCGCTGCCGCTGCCGCTGCTGCTGCTGCTGCTGCCGCCACTGCTGCCGCTGCTGCTGCTGCTGCTGCGGCTGCGGTGCGTGTCACCCGCGCTGCTGGCGGTGCTCCCGGCACCGGCGCTCCGGCTAGCGCCTGCCGCGGCACCGCGCGCAGTTCCTCCGGCGGAACATGACGTGGCGGGGGGTCGCGAATAGCGTTGCAGGGGGAGACGCGTCGGAGGGGCGCGGAGCGCGGCGGGAGCGGAGCTGAAGGGGAAACGGGGGGAGACAACCGGGGGATCAATTAACATGCGAATAAACAGCAGCGTCAGGCATTACCGAATGGCGTGGCCGTACCGCAAAGATTATTCTCGTTACAAGCTGTTGGAGGTTGTTCACATAGATATATGTTTAATATTCGCGATGATGCAACCGAATTGCGGCAGTAACGTGGTACCTTGTCACCCTGTACGGAGCCGACAGAGTCGTTGCCCCCAAAACCAAGTCACCAACGCACTTTGACGGACACCCAATTGGGGCAACAAGGTTGACGGTAAGAGCACCCAGAGGCGCCATGTCAAATTACGAGATGGCGGTTAACCGGACTTCGTCTAGAGGGTGTCACAACGCAGGAGCCTTCTGGAGCAATCGTCAATTGGGAATCCCGAGGTGCTAAATCAGGAATCACAAACACCAGGAGAAAGAAGAAAGCTTTCAGGAGGAGGGAGGACTGGAGACGAGACGAGATTCGAGAATGGGATGGGCTTGTTTTGTTGCTGGGCGCACAAAACGCGCTCAACCCCGAAGGAAATTCATGCGAAACGCACTGTACCGTACAGACACATTAGGAAACCGATTTGGGCCGTGATATAGGTGAATTGAGAATGCAGCACAGCAACTGGGGAAGAGGGTGTGGGCGCTGCCAATCAGAATCCCCGTACCTCGTGCGCTGAATGGAGGGAAAAGGTGACGCTATGACCTGGATTTCAGTCTTCGGCCAATCGGTGATGCTCTAGACACGGTGGCAGAAGATGATTTCACGTCACAGATCCAGGTTCAAAGGCCTCCATTCTGCCAAACACTACTCCAACCCCGCTCTTGACAGACTCGTTTAAAAAACATCGAGGTGCTGTACTTATGGTGCGATTGCCGCTGTAAATGAAACACATTGTATACAGTAACAGATGTGCCTGCTCCGAAGTCGGCAATCCCAAACCTAACACGTGGACAACGAAATCCGTTGGGGAACACGTCACCTCACCCAGACATCCCCAAGGTTGCGCTTCGGCTTTCCCTACGCTCCGTCAGCCCTGTCATCCTTCCAGTTCCCTGCTAGCTATCCCCCGCGTTGCTTTCTTGTCTAGGTGCTAGAGACTGGTCGTCACTTTCAGACCGATTTTGTAGAGTCAAAGTGTGGAGATTACCTCGGATCTCTTTGTCTGGCAACAAGCGGCCTATCCCTCCACTCCCTTGTTGTTGCAGCCTGACTTCCCAGAGTAAAGCCTTTCTGTAGAAATTTCGGAACAATGGCTGCCACCTCGGGATTGTCGACTGCAGTTTCCGTTCCCGCCAAGCTCAGCCACGTGGCATCCTCCAGCAACGGCATTTCCGGCGCCGCGACCTCCGTCGCTTTCCCCTCCGCGAGGCGAGCAACTCGTGCGGGATCGAGCGTGGCGGAGGGGCGCGGGAAGTGCCGATGCTCGACGGCGGAGATTCTCCACGACGGCGCGCGGGATCCGCTGCTGCTGCGCGTGGCGCGCGGAGAAGGTGAGTCCTCCGCGCGATGCATGTGAAGTGAAGCTGAATTCCCGTGCCACTATATGCGAGTCCACATATCTAAGCGTGGAAAGTTATATGGAACGTTTCATGTCTGAACCTGGTAACATCCAGCGAGCTCATGCTCTTCGCAACACTACTTTCTGGTTGCCAGCCTAGCAGTCAATCAGCTCGTCTGGTTGTCGCAGAAGTTCGCATTCAATCAATGGTATGGGTGGCACGAACCTGCTGTCGATCATCTCGTCGTGGTGGTCGGTGATGATGCGCGGTGCTGTGCGATGTGGGGGTGGGGAAGGGGTTGGATGGGTGTCGAGGGCACGCGGGGGCATGTGAGTGCGTCTGAGGGTGCGTAACTGAGCGTGTGTTCATGTGAGTACATGTGTGCGCGCATGCGCGTGCGCCCCCCGTGGTGCGTGGCAGACGCGGAGAGGACGCCCGTGTGGCTCATGCGCCAGGCGGGGCGCTACATGAAGGACTTCCGCAAGTACGTGCTTCCGCCCCCCGCCCCCTTCTCCGCAAGTACGTGCTTCTTCCGCCCTCCCCTCTCTCTGCAAGTACGAGCTTCCACCCCCCGCCCGCCCTCTCCGCACGCCTCCTTTTCGAACCCTGTAGCGCCGTCGCAACGAAAGAACCATAGTCCTCCCTGCACCACCCCTCCCCCATTCTTGTTATGAACCCCACCGTGTACCACGACTATAATCCCGTCGTAAATTGAACAGTTTCAGTCTCGCATTCCCGCATCTCCGCTAGCTTTTCAACAAGTACACCCGTTGACGCCTCATTCGAAAGGCAACAAACACCTCCTTCCACCCTCCCCCTCCTCCCTCCTCCCCTCCCCGTGCGCGCAGGTTCTCGGACAAGTATCTGTTCCGCATGCGGTCGGAGACGGCAAGCATTTCCACTCCCCTCCTAATCTCCACGCCCCCCATCGCCCCTCCCCCACCCAATTATTCCTCCCCTCTCCCCGCGCGCGCAGGTTCTCAGACAAGTACCCGTTCCGCATGCGGTCGGAGACGGCGGAGATCGCGATCGAGCTGACGCTGCAGCCGTGGAAGGCGTTCGGCACGGACGGCGTGATCATGTTCTCAGACATCCTCACCATCCTGCCTGCGCTGGGCGTGGAGTTCGACATGGTGAAGGGCAAGGGACCCGTGATTGCGGACCCGCTGCGTACAAAGGACGACCTGCGCGACCTCAAGTGAGTGGGGAGGAGGCTGGGGAGGAAGAGGAAGTGGGGACCAGGGTAGTGAGAGTAAGAAAATGCGAGATAGACATGGTGAAGTGAAGGGCAAGGGGCCTGTCATTGCGGTCCCACTTTGCACCAAAGACGGGGAGGGGAGGCGGAGGAGAAGAGGGCGAGTGGGGGAGAAAGGGGAAGGAGGAGGAAGCGGAGAGCGAGGGAGGGTAAAGGGGGGGCGGGAGGAGGTTTAGGGAAGGCGAGAGGAGGGTGAGATGAGGGTGCTAGTAGGTGAAAGTAAGGAGGGGAGGGGGAAGTTGGAGAGCCTTCTTTGTGAATGGGCGGAAAATGAAGCCTTTCTTTTGGGGCGCCTTAGAAAAATAAGGTTTGCTGAACGGGAATGGGGGGTGAATGAAGGGAAAATGGAAAAGCGGGCGGACAAGGGTAGGCTTTAAGGGTGGACAAGACGATTGGCAGGGGCCACGAGGGAAAAGCAGAAGAGGCATGGAGGAAATGGAACAGTGGGCTGGGATGCAACGAAGGCGTTGATTTTGTTGGGATGCACCACGTGGGCTGACATGTGTTAAGACCACGTGATCATGCACAAGCTGAGTCTGACACACGACATGTCTTGACTTGAGAGCAATTGGCCTCGTTTAGGCACCTCGACTCAGCAAATCCCCAACCCCCTCCCTTCTCTGCTCTCCCCCCTTGCCCTCCACGCCCCCCTCCCCCACCTCGCCCCTCCCACAGGCCCCTGGAGGACCCGGATGCGAAGCTGCCGTTCATCCGCGAGATCCTCATGTCGCTGCGCAGGGAGCTGGCGGTCCCTGGCAGGAGATGCCGTCACTTGGGCTACTGTCTTTTCTACACACCTCAGCCTCCCCTTCCCCCCTGCCCTCCCAACACACAGGCCATTGGAGGACCCAGACGCCAAGCTGCCGTTCATCCGGGAGATCCTCACGTTGCTGCGGAGGGAGCTGCGGGCAGCGAGGCAGGAAATACCGTCACTTGGGCAAGGCCATTACTCAGCCTCCACTTCGTCCCTGCCCTTCCCAACACACAGGCCCCTGGAGGACCCCGATGCCAAGCTGCCATTCATCCGCGAGATCCTCACGTCGCTGCGGCGGGAGCTGGCGGGCAGCGAGGCGACGCTGCTGGGGTTTGTGGGCACGCCGTGGACGCTGGCAGCGTACGCCATTGAGGGGCAGGGCAGCAAGAACCTGCTCGCCACCAAACGCATGATGCTGCATGGTAAGTGTGGGGGTCACTTCTGGTGGCTGGCTAGGTGGGCTCGTGGGTCATGCTGAGGGTGGGTGGGTGGGTGGGTTTCTGTAGCATGGTGGGCGACTGGTGAGCTAAATGAGTGGTTTGAGTGTGCCATGCTTGCATGAACCAAGTTGGTGAATAACAGCTAGCTCACGCCCTCCCTGCCTCCACGCCTTCATGCCACCATTCTTCCCTCACCCCACCCCTCTCTCAGAGCCGGAGTTGCTGCACGACATCCTGGCAGCCCTAGAGGACGCGTTAGTCGTATACGTGAGCCACCAGATCAGCTGTGGGGCGCACATCGTGCAGCTGTTTGACTCGTGGGCGCACCACCTCACGCCAGCGCAGTTCGCCGAGTTCAGCCTGCCCTACGCCGAGAGGATTGTGCAGCGCGTGAAGCAGCTGCACCCGCACACGCCGCTCATCTTCCATGCCAATGGGGGCACCGGCAAGCTGCACCTGGTGCAGCAGGGGTGCAGTGCGGACGTGGTGGGGCTGGACTGGGGCACCGACATGGCTGAGGCTCGGCGTGTGTTTGGCAGCGATGCTGTGCTGCAGGTGAGGGGGGTCGTGCCTCGCATGGGCCATGAGCTGGGCTCTGCATGGTGCTATACATTGGCCCCCTTCATGTTGTGTGTTTTTTAGTCGCTGAGTCAATGTCATCAGTGTAAATCTTGCTTGCTATGCTTCCCTTGTTGTCGACCCCTCTCCCTCCCCCTAACCTGGTATCGTGTTTGTTTTTTCAGGGGAACGTGGACCCAATGGTTCTGTTTGGTCCTGAGGCGTCCATCAGAGCAGCTGTGGCTGATTGCTTGAGCAAGGCGGGAGGCAGGAGGCACATTCTCAATGTGGGCCATGGGGTGGTGCAGGGGACTCCTGAGGAATCAGTGGCACTCTTCTGCAAGCTTGCCCAAGAGAGTGGGCGGGCAGGGCAAGCTGCTGAGATAGCCGCAGCTTTGCATTCAGCTGCATGAAAGGAGAATTGGGCCAATGCTATGATGTCATCACAGTGTTTCCTACTTTAGATACAAGTATATTTTGCTCCCCAATTCATTTTTGTAGCCACTTTTGTAGGATATCTTCAAGCAATGGTATGGTTATGGGATTTTCTCTCTATGTTTTCTCATTAACTACATATGAAAGAATACGGTAATATTTCAATCTTCCGTACATATTTCTTTATTGCAAATTTGAAAATATCGTTTGAGCGACGAAAGAACCCCGCGATACCAGGTGCATCTCGCACAGCTCGGATGACCCTTCATTGGTCTTCGGCTATCCTTAGACCTTTTGGTCCCGTGCGATTGGCTCACAGGAATTGGCGGCATGGGTTCTGCGAAGTCAGGTCCATCTCTGATTGGCCAGGCAAGATAGGCCTGGAATGTTGCTTTCCAAGCGTCATCCACAACGGCTCCCAGGCAAACGGGATCAGCAGCGCGGAGATTGAGGGGGTGTCCTGAGATTCCCGCTGAGCCTGCGCATTTGTTATCAGGAGCTTCTCATTTCCCACCTGTCATCTGCAAACCCTTGTTGTACAGGCAGCACTTGACCTCCACTCTCCGCCGAACTCCTCCCAGCCACGCCTGACCAGCAAAAATCACAGCAATGGCCGCCGTCGCCTCTTCCTCTGCTGTCCGCGTGGCTGCCGTGTTCGGCGCCAAGAACCAGAAGCTCAATGCCAAGAGCTTCGCCGGCGCTTCCCTCGCCGTGAAGGCCGCTCCCGCGCGCCTGACCATGGCCGCGGAGGCCCCCGCCGGCTTCTCCCCCCCGGAGCTGAAGTCCGACACGCCGTCGCCCATCTTCGGCGGCAGCACCGGCGGCCTTCTCCGCAAGGCTCAGGTCGAGGAGTTCTACGTGATCACGTGGGAGGCCAAGAAGGAGCAGATCTTCGAGATGCCTACCGGCGGTGCCGCCATCATGCGCGCGGGCCCCAACCTGCTGAAGCTCGCCAGGAAGGAGCAGTGCCTCGCGCTCGGCACCCAGCTTAGGACAAAGTTCAAGATTAACTACCAGTTCTACCGCGTGTTCCCCAGCGGCGAGGTGCAGTACCTCCACCCTAAGGACGGCGTGTACCCCGAGAAGGTGAATGCTGGCCGCGCCAACGCCAACGTGAACCTGCGCTCCATCGGCAAGAACGTTGATCCCGCCGTTGTCAAGTTCACCTCGAAGAGGGCTATCGACTTGTAGATGCTCTACATTGTAAATAGCCTTCCAATCAGTCGATGATACACAGTTTTGTTCCTTGCAGTATCTCAATATTAACTTAGTTTCCCCCATTTATATATTTGCAAGCGTACACAACCAAGCTGAAGAGCTTTTCACGTAAAATCACAAGGCTGTGAGCGATGAATACTATGCTTTGCATGAACTATCAAATCGATTTGAAAAATGAACCTTGGTTCTTGGCTGGGCAAAAATGATTACGATAAAATAAATGTGATACGGTATTTCACCAAATGAAAGCTATGTGTAGAAAAGTATAAGGGAAGTGGCAGCGCGCACCGTCGCAAACATGCACTAAAAAATAGAACACTAATCAACAACGCACCCCACAGCATGCATGGCTCGCGGTAGCAGCTCCGTGCCGTTCTGGCAACAGCTACAAGGTGGGTGTCGGTCAGTGCATCACGGAACACAGACCACGATGCGCATGAAAGATTAGTAAGCAGTCCATAGCGTGTACTTATGGCATCCTGTAGCGTCTAATTACCACGTGGCTCCAAGGAAAAGTGTTTCTGTCAGAAACCCGAGGCACCCTGTCCTGATCACCATGTCTCTCGTTGCTGTCTCGCGCAGTGCCGAATGGCCTCGTGCCACGTGTCGGCCACAGCGCGACGCTCGTCGGCAGCTGCATGTACGTCATGGGCGGGCGACTGGCCAATCGCACGCACGCCAACGACGTCTGGCTGTGCGACCTTTCCGCTTGCGAAGACGTCGCCGGACCCACTTGCGACGGCAGCGAGACGGGTTGCAAAGCGGGAGCGGGACGAAGTGGGGTAGGAGGAGCGGAGGGAGGAGGGGCAGTCCGGTGGGAGTTGATTAACGAGCACGCGCCGTTCTCCCCGCGAGCCTATCACAGCGCGACACTTGTCGGCGAGTGTGAGATCTGGGTGGTGGGCGGCAGCGACGAGCGCGCCGTGAAGCACGACGTGTTCGCCTTCAACACGCGCACCCGTGAGGTGCGCCGTGGGTGGGGGGTTGGGCGGGGGAGGGAGACACGGGGGGAAAGTGGGAGGGTGCGCACCCTCAGGAAAGACGTTGGCGCGAGCAGGTAGGAGAAGAGCAATGGGTGAAGGCCAACCGCTTTCCTGAGGGGGAAGAACGCTCCTCTCCAACCTCCCACGCGGTGGACGCATTGGGCAGGTAGGACACGAGCAATGGGACTGCAGTGCCCACAGTGCAGCTCCCCTCCTCTCTCACGCACTTGCTCCCTGCAGTGCAGTGACCCAGATTCTCAACCGCGGAGAGACAAACCTGTGACTTGGCCAGTAACAATCACTCCCCGTACGCCTCTCCCCCTTCACCCCCCTGCCCCTTGCCTCTTTCTTTCGCCAACCCCCCTCTCCTCCCCCGCTCCAATGCACTGCATTCCTACGCCTTCTCCTGCCGTTCCCCCCATGTCGGCTCGTTTGCAGTGGAGGCAGGTTCAGACACGTGGCAGGTATGCAGAGTACCCACGTGTCACACATGCTGCCATGGTTCATCCACAGCATGCCACGTGGCTGCTCATCCACGGGGGATACGGTGGCAACGGACCCACGCTCGAGTTCCTCGATGATCTCTGCGTACTCGATACAGGTAAACTCGCTACCACGCCTTGTACTGTGCTATATTAAGCCCCAGAAGCTTGCAGTACAAAACCTCCCCTCACTCTCTCTGCTTCTCCATCTCCCGTCCCCTCGTCTCTCCCGTGCCCCTTCCTCCCATCAACCTCTGTCGTACCAGAGTCGCTGACCTGGCATGACGTGCGCCCCTCAGGCTGCCCGCCCTCTGCCCGCGGCTACCACTCCATGACAAACCTTGCCAGCCGCGCAGTAGTCTTTGGGGGGAAGACCAAGCAGCGGGCCGACAAGGAGCAGCACGGCCTCTGGTGAGCCCCTGACACGCTTGTCCCAGGTGGTTTTCAGGTGTTGCTTGGTTGTTCTTCAGGTGATCATTCAGGCGTGGCTTGGGTGTTCTTCAGGTGAGTTTCAGGTGCTCTTCCACCCCGTCCACCTCATCCTCCCTTCCCTCCTTGCCCCGTGCCCAATGCCCGCCGGTCCTCCCTGCGCCTCCCCACTCCCCCAAACCCCAGGGTATACGACCCGCTGTCCAACGCGTGGGAGCAGCCTACAGTGGCAGCAGGGGGGGCACAGGCACAGCCGCGGTCCAATCACGCGGCGACAGGTGTCGGGGGCGGGATGGCGGTGGTGCATGGGGGGCGTGTGAAGAAGGAGCGCCTGGACGACCTCTGGCTGCTGCAGGTGCGCTCTTGGGCGGCCGCGCTGTGCCATGCCATGCCATGCCATGCGTGTGACCATGAGTTGAGAATGTACCATGCTATGCACGTGTGCCTGGACGGCCTCTGGCTGCTGCAGGTGCGCTCAAGGGCTGCCCTGCCCTCTTGTGCTTCCCTGTCATGCCATGCCATGCCATTCACGCTGCCATGAGTGGAGAGGATGGCAAACAACCCAGCGATGCTGCTTGCTGGCAGGCATGCACACAGCATCCCACCGCCACGTTACTCACCCTCTTCTTCCTCTCGTCTCCCTACCCCACTTCTCTTGTCCAGGCCATGGCCCCGCCACACAACACACCGCCATCTCCCCCATCCGCGCATCTCTCTGCACCCATCTCTCTCGCCTGGCACCGCATCGCCACTCTCCCCTCGTCCGCGCCCATGCCCGCCGTGCCTCTGCATGTGGGCGAGGGGGGAATGGCGGAGACGGGTGGGCGGGGAGGGGGGCAGAAGGACCAGCAGGGAGGGCAGCACACTCCGTGGTGCACTGGGGGCGGTCGCTCTTCCTTTTTGGCGGCTATGGTGGCAACGGTGGGTGTGAGAGACGTGGGAGGATGGTGGGTGCATGGAGAGGAGAGGGTTCGTGCACAGTCGCAGAGTTGGCTCTCTCCGTTTTGATCTGTCTCCTCACCTCCAGCAACACTCGTCACACCCAACCCATGCCCGTTCCCGCGTTCAATCACTCCCGTTAATTCAACAAACTTGTACTCGCGCCTCCTCTTCCAACCAGCATGCTTTCTGCAGCCCCTTTTTCAATCCCCCTCCTCCTCCCGCTCCCCACTTTGCTCCCCAATTTTCTCCCCAACACACATCCGCATGACCTACAGACCACTCATACGCCGACCTATTTGCCCTTCGGAACCTTCCTGCCGCCTTCCCAACAACAGCCAGCCAATCACCTGGTGCCACGTCTGCTATCAAGCATGGGGGAGGAGAGGCTCCAGGCAGCCTGGCAGCTGTCCCCAGACTGCTGCGAGCCAATCGTGGAGCGACACGTGTCACTGCAGGGGTTGCTGCGGACACACGTGGGGCAGCAGGGGTGGGCGAGTGTGATTTGCCCGTGACTGTGGGAGGAGGAAGTGGAGGAGGAGGAGGAGGAGGAGGAGGAGGAGGAGGAGGAGGAGGAGGAGGAGGAGGAGGAGGAGGAGGAGGAGGAGGAGGAGGAGGAGGAGGAGGAGGAGGAGGAGGAGGAGGAGGAGGAGGAGGAGGAGGGGCAAGAGGAGTGGCAGAAGCAGGGAGAGTGGCTAAGGAGGGAACGACACCAGCAGCATTGCCAGTAACATCACCACTAGCAGCAGCAACAGCAGACGCAGCAGCTGGGAGAAAAGGTGCAGGAGCAGCAGGTGCAGCAGTAATGGTGGGTGTGAAGAGGAGAGGGGAAAGAGGGGAGGATATAGGCAGCGCCAAGGCTGCACGTGCCACACGTGGCCTTGCTCGTGCTGCTGCTAGTGGCGCCGCTGCAGCAGCTGCAGCAGCTGCAGCAGCTGGAGGTGCGAAGTCGCCCCCTGCTGCTACAGCGGCAGGGAAAGCGGCAGAAGCAGTGGCAGCAGCAGCTGCTGCACCAGCAGCAGCAGCGGCAGCAGCAGCAGCACCAGCAGCACCAGCAGCAGCACCAGCAGCAGCAACTGGCAGGGAGCAGCCACATTCTACAGCTCGCAAGGCCACCACAGGGCTGGGGCCGTGGCGTGTGGGTGGGGGGGGCAAGGCAGAGGGAGAGGGTGATGCAGCAGTGACTGCTGCACCAGAGGCGGCACCAGTGGCAGCAGCAGCGGCAGCGGCAGCAGGCAGGAAGCTGCCACATTCTACAGCTCGCAAGGTCACAACAGGGCTGGGCCCGTGGCGGGTGGGTTGGGGGGGCAAGGCAGAGGGCGATGCTGCTGGTGGTGTGGTGGGGTGCGGGCGTGGGCATGAGACACGAGTGATGCTGGGAAAGCAGAAGCAGCAGAAGCAACAGCAGAAGCAGCAGAAGCAGAAGAAGAAGCAACATGAGCAGCAGGTGCAGCAGCAGAGGGAGCAGAGGGAGTGGAGGGCGGTGCAGCGGCAGCAGTTGGACCTGGTGGGCGGGGATGTTCGGCGGCTAGTGAGGCAGAGCCCGTTTGCCGGCAGGGAGAGGGGCGGCAGGCGGGGGGAGGAGGGGTCTGGGGAGGTGAGAGAGAGGGAGGCAGGTGAGGAGGGAGAGGGAGGCGACGAGGGGAGGGGAGGGAATGTGAGGGGGATGGGATTGGGATTGAGGGGAGAGGTGGAGGGAGCAGCAGCGGCAAGGGTTGGGACAGGGAAGTGGGTTGGAGCTGTTAACATTGGTAGGGTGGGTTTGGGTGTGGATAGAGAAGGAGGCTTGGATTCCGAGGCGTCAGGTTCGGAAACAGGTCCGGTGGGTGGGGATGAGAGGGAGAGTGTGGCAAAGAGAAGGAGGATGGATCTAGACCAAGCTGCTGCTGCTGTTGCTGCTGCTGCTGGTGCGGCTGCTGGTGCTGCTGCTGCTGCTGGGGAGAGGAGAGATGGGGAGGAGGGACACTTGAGGGGAGGGAGGGGAAGGGGGGAAGGGGGTAGAGGCGCAGAGATGGCGACAGGGGGGGCAGCTGTGGCTGCAAGGGGAGATGGGGGCGGAGGCGGGGAGGTGGAACGAGGGGGGATGACCTGGGGAACATTGGGGGGAACGTTGGGGGAAACGTTGGGGGGAACGCTGGGGGGAACACTGGGGAAAGCGGTAAGGAGTGTGCTTGGTAGGGAGAAGAGAGTGGGATGGGGGGAAGTGCGGGGTTGTGAGGGGGAGAGGCTAGGAGACAGTGGCGCAGAGAGGAGGGGAGGCGGGGAAGGCGGGGGGGAGGGCGAATGGGGATGCATGGACATGCGTGAGGGGCGGGTTGGGGTAGGGCAAGTGGCAGGCGAGAGGGCGGGAGGTCATGAGCAGGGGGGGGAACAAGTGGGGAAGGAGGGGGGTGAGCATGGGGAGGTGAGATTAGGCAGAGTGGGGGGGAGTTATAGGGATGGTGCTACGATGAGAGTAGGGGATGGGGTGTTGGAAGGGAGAGGGGTAGCAGGTGGGGCGATGGGGGCGGAAGAGAGGGGCAACTGGCGCACAGGCAGGGCAGGGGCGGTTGGGGTGGAGCGGTGTGGTGGAAGCAGGGGGAGGGCGGGAGAGGAGGGGAGAGAAGTGGTGACGGAGCGAGTGGGGGAAGCGCAAGGGATAGAGATGGATGGGGTGAGAGAAGTGGCAGGAGCAAAGGCTGTGCATGGCGTGCGGGCGATGGGAATGGAGATGCGGACGGAGATGGAGCAGCGGCTGGCATTGCTGGAGCGAGACGCGGTGGTGCAGGTACGATGCAGATGCATGGCGTGGCATGGCATGGTGTGGCATGGTGTGGCATGGTGTGGCATGGTGTGGGATGGCATGACATGGCGTGGCATGGCACGGCTGACAGACTCTTGCCCAATGTCCCCCCTGCTCATGACTCCCATTTCCTCCTTGCCCATCATCCCCCTTGCCCATCATCCCCCTTGCCCATCATCCCCCTTGCCCATCATCCCCCTTGCCCATCATCCCCCTTGCCCATCATCCCCCTTGCCCATCATCCCCCTTGCCCATCATCCCCCTTGCCCATCATCCCCCTTGCCCGTCATCCCCCTTGCCCATCATCTCTTTCACCCCATCTTAGCCCTCCCTCGTCTGCCCCTGGCCCTTCCTCATGCATCCTGTCTGCGCCGCGCCCCCCCTCAGGCGGCCATGGAGCAGCAGATGTGGGCGCTCTGACACGAGCATGCAGCAAATACGGGCACCCTTTTTGAGTCGACTCAAAAAGCTGGCCCTCCCTCCCTCCCTCGTGTATGTGTCCTGTGTCTGCCCACCCACCCCCTGGCGGCCATGGAAAACAGATACGGGTGCTCTCACACGAGCTCGCAGCTGACTTTTGAGGCGCCTGAAAAGACCCCTTCTTCCTGGCCCTGCCTTCCTCGTGTGTGCTGTGTCTCCCAACCCACCGCCAGGCGGTCATGGAGCAGCAGATTCGAGTGCTCACACACGAGCTCGCAGCAAACACGGCCACTCTTTTGAGTCGACCCAAAAATCTGGCCCTCCCTCCCTCCCTCGTGCGTGTGCCCTGTGTGCGCCCACCGCCAGGCAGCCATGGAGCAGCAGATTCGGGCCCTCACACACGAGCTTGCAGCAGCCAGAGCAGAGGGGGTAGCAGCGAGGGCGGAAGCGGCATCAGCGAGGGCAGAGGGCGAGGCGGAGAGGAGGAGGAGGGAGAGGTGTGAGAAGGAGCTGGCAGCAGCACAGGCGGACGGGGCAGCAGCAGCGAGAGCGCGCGAGATGGCAGCAAGGGCCACGGTGGAACGGATTCAGCAGGAGCTGGTGGCAGCCAGCGCAGAGGGCGAGGCGGCGAGAGAGTTAGTGCAGAGGTGCGAGGGTGAGTTGGCAGCAGCGCGGGCAGAGGGCGAGGCGGCGAGGGCAGCAGCGAAGGAGGAGGCGGTGCAGAGGGCAGCAGCGAAGGAGGAGGCGGTGCAGAGGGCAGCGGCAGAGAGGGAGCTGCGTGGCGCCGTGGACTGTTTGGAGGCTGAGCTGGCTCGTGCCAAGGCGCAGGTAGGTGATTCCATGGTGTGCAATGCACTGATGTTAGATTGGCTGGAATCAACTTCGGCAATAATGAATCCATTGGCACCGATTCCTCCTACGTTCAATATTCCAGGGTGAGGCGGAGTGGCGGCAGGGGCAGGCAGAGAGGCGGAAGGCGGAGGAGCAGCAGCAGCGGGCGTGTGAGCTGGAGAGGCGCGTGGGGGAGGGCGAGGCGAGAATGAAGCAGCTAGAGGCGCAACTAGCGCAAGCTGATGCTGAGGCTCGAGAAGCAACGAGGTAAGTAGGTTGTCTGGTGGTGGGTGCTGGCAGGGTTGGTGCTGGCAGGGTGGGTGCTGGCAGGGTGGGTGCTTGGCAGCGGGGTGAGAGAGGGGCGGCGACAACCTGACACATGAGCATTTGATGCTTGCTAACTTGCCTAGCAAGCGGCTAGCCGCGAGCCTTGCAGTGCATTGTGCCGCCCAAAAGCGTCACGCAATGCACGTGTGTCCCTGCGTGCCTTGTGCGTCACAGGCGGGCGAGCAGGCAGCAGCAGCAGGCGGAGACGCTCAGAGGGGAGCTGCAGGGAGCGCGAGAGGAGGTGCGTGCTGCTGCTGCAGGGCTGCCCTTATCATGCCCTCACTTGCAGCTGACGTCATCCCCTGCCTACTCTACTGCACTCTACCACATCCTTCCCCTCGTCTTCTGCTCCTCCTCCTCCTCCTGCTACTCTCGCTTCTGCTTATTCTCAGCTGCCTGCTGCCGATCTTACTCTCATATGTGCTCGCTCCAACTGGTTCCCAATTCCCCCCTTCCTGGTTTCCAATCATCTTCTGCCAGCTGTCATCCCTGCATGCTGAGGTGGCATCACAGAGACAAGCCATGGATTCAATGAAAGCCGCTCACGCTCAGGTGAGAGCAGCAAAATATCAGGTGAAATTCTGATGTCTGGCATCGATGTTGCATGTATGCCACAATACCGTTGCTGTGCGTGTACATGCATGTGGTTGGTCTAGCCCTCACATCGCTTCCACACTTCTTCAGCATCTGCCCCCCCTCCCCCTTCCGCCCTTCTTCTCGGATTTCCAGTTGCACCATTCACCCTCCCAGCTCTCTTTTGCCTCCTTATTGTGCTCTTCACCCTCTGACCAGGAGCAATCCCGAGCAGCCCAGCAGCTTGCAGCAGTGCAGGCACAGCTGGGGGAGGTGCAGGTGAGGACTGGGGAGGGGGGATGCAGGCACAGCGGCATGGGGGACGCACATGGGAGCGAGAGGGATGGAAGGCATGGGGTGTTCGTGAAGCAGAGGGAGGACGTGTGGAGGGTGTGTGTGTGCGCGAGCGCGCGTGCGAGTGTCCAAAATTTCTAGATTCTGCTCATGAATCCCTCCCATTCTCTGGTTCTTTTCTTTTATCCGCTTCTCCCTTGTTTTACCCTGCCTTGCCTTCACCTACCCAATCGCCTCCCCTTCGCCTCCCCTTTGCCTCCCCTTTGCCTCCCCTTTGCATCCCCTTTGCCTCCCCTTTGCCTCCCCTTTGCATCCCCTTTGCCTCCCCTTTGCCTCCCCTTTGCCTCCCCTTTGCCTCCCCTTTGCCTCCCCTTTGCATCCCCTTTGCCTCCCCTTTGCCTCCCCTTTGCATCCCCTTTGCCTCCCCTTTGCCTCCCCTTTGCCTCCCCTTTGCATCCCCTTTGCCTCCCCTTTGCCTCCCTTTTGCCTCCCCTTTGCATCCCCTTTGCATCCCCTTTGCCTCCCCTTTGCCTCCCCTTTCACACGCTGGTTACTTGCTGCAGCAAGAGCAGGAGGAGTTGCAGGGGGCTCTTAGAGACGCCAAGAAGCATACCGCCCAGGTGCCTCTTCTTTCTCACTCTCTTCCTCCCACTGCCTCACCATGCAATTGCCTCACCATGCAATCGCCTCACCATCCCACTGCATCAGTCCTCTGTTTCGCCTTGCCTTTGCTATCCTCTGCTATCCTTTCACCCGCCTTGCCTCACGTCCGCCCTGCCTGGCACATGCAAATGCCAGGTGGAGGAGGAGTGGCGGCAGCAGAAGCAGGCAGCGGAGGAGGAGCAGCGGAGAGCGGCAGAGCAGCACAGGCGAGAAGTGGAGCAATTCCAAGCCAGGCTCATAGAGGTGGAGTCTGGTGGAGTGCTTTTGGGTGAAAGATGAAGGGTTGTGGGGGTTCCAGCTTCAGAAGGGAGAGGGACTGGGGAGAAATCTCAGATTGAGGTCCAGCCTGGGGAATCGTTTCGGGGTTTACAGGACGGAGGGTTGTGACGGATTTCCAGCTTGCGAGGGTCTGGGGCAGAGGACACAGGCGTTGTTAAGTGCGGCTGTGTTGTCGGCTCATCGCTTCATGCCGATGCCTCTCCACCAACTCCCTTCCCTCCTCCCTTTCTCTTCACTTGCCCTCCCGACATTCCCCCATTCCCCCATGCTCCAATGCCCTCATGCCCCCCCATGCCCCCATGCTCCCATGTCACCTATTGCCCCATGCCCATATCTCCCATTTGCCAGGCTGTGGGTCAGAAGCAGTGTGCAGAGCAGCGCCTGGAAGATTCCAGGAAGCGGGCTGATGAGCTCAGCGAGCGCGTGAAGCAGGTAGGTTGAAAGGGAAAGGAAGGGTTCCCTGCTGTTTTTTCGAGGGAAGGAAAGAAAGGGCTGTCAGTAAGAGATTTTTGGGATGTGAGCGATTCTTTAGAAATCTCAACCAACTCGTCTTCAGGTCGGACCTTTGCTCATGCCTCTTCTCTATTGCAACCAATGCCATGTGCTATGCTTCATGCGCCATGCACCATGCACCATGCACCATGCACCATGCACCATGCGCCATGCACCATGCACCATGCACCATGCACCATGCACCATGCACCATGCGCCATGCACCATGCACCATGCACCATGCACCATGCGCCATGCACCATGCACCATACATCCCGTGTCATGGCAGGTGGAGCAGAGAGCAGTGCAGCACGTGGCAGCAGCACAGCAGTGGAGGCAAACCGAGGCTCGCCTGCAAGCATCTCTCCATAAAGTATCACTTGTTCTTGCTTTTGTCGCTTCTCTCCCTTTCCGTCTTTTGTACGTCGGCTCTCGTGTTCTTGGCTTTGTCGCTTCACTCTTCTCTTTGTTTATTACATCCTTGCTCATACCCCTCCAGATGTTTCATCGCAGATTCCCCCTTCCTTTAACCTCACACGCTCCCCCCCTTGTGTGGCCTGGGCTGGGACTGCTATCAGGTGAAGCTGGAAAGACAGCGGCTGCAGAGTCAGTCTGACACACTCAGGTGCGTGTCTCTACCACATGCCCCTTCTATTACTGTGCCTGGAATTTCTTCACCCTGACTACCTCAAACGTGTCAAGAGATTGTGCGTAAAAATCTCTAACTAGGACCTCTCCTTTCTGCACGTCTTGTGTTGTGTTGTGCCCTCTGTATGTGGTGTTCCCAGGGCACACCTGGCACGGCACCAGGCGGTGCAGCAGCAGATGGAGAGCAGCTGGCAGCAGCTGCGGGGCAGCACTGACACGCTCTCCGCCCTGCTGCGCTGTACCACCACCACTGCTGGTAACCCTGCTGGTTTAGGGGAACCACATGGTAGTGATGATGATGACAGTGGTGGTGCTGGTGGTGGGTGCGATGGTGGTGGTGGTGGGGTTGGTGGTGGTGGTGGTGGTGGTGGTGGTGGTGGCGGTGCTGGTAGTGGTGGTGGTGGTTGGGTGAATAGAGGCAGGCAGCGCAGGGAGCAGCAGCTCGAAGCAATGGAGGGTGGGGATAACCGGTTGTTATCACATGGGGATGAGCTTGACCAGCACCAGCAGGGGCGGGTGCAACAGCAGCGGCGGTTAGGGCAGGTGCAGGGACGAAGGCATGTGCAGGGAGGAGCGGAGGTGCAAGGGAGAGAGCAGGGTGTTTTGGCACTGCTCCACCCCTCTCCCTCCCCACAAGGCCTACTGCGCCAGCAGCAGTCAGCAGTGCATGCACACCAGCAGCAGCAGCAGCAGCAGCAACAGAAACAGCAACAGCAACATCAGCAACAGCAACTGCAACAGCAGCAGCAGACAGCAGCAGGTGCGCAAGGGGCGTTGGAGCATTCAAGGCATGCGGCAGGTGGGGGACAAGCAGTTGCGGCGCTGCATGGAGGTGCCACCCATCACTGCCTGCACGCTGCTGCTGCCCACTCCCCCCCCGCTTCTGCCCGTCATGTTTTCCGCCTTCCCTAACTGAAAGTGCATGTAGGAGGGGGTGTACACATTGCAAGGTGTATGTGCTTGTACGGTAATAGGAAAATCGTGGTGGAAAGATGGTACACTTGTGAATATCGACGTCTCTTGTTTGTAGAGATTGCAATGAAGTATGAGTTGTCTTTGTACTGGCCTTTCAAGCTGGGCCATTCTTTCTTAACAATGGTGCCTACCTACCTACCTACCCATTACCCAGCCTCAAGCCTGTCAGTCCCTGCATTATTTGGCAACCTCGCCCTACAATCATTATCACTGCATCTTCTTTATTGCAAATCAGTATCACTGCATACCGTATTCCTTTGTACACACACACACTCTCCCGATGGTCCTCCTCATACCGGTAAGCCACGGACCTTGGACCTTGTGGCTTAAAGTGCAGCAGCTGCAGTGCTGAATAGCGCAGCATGGCACCAAGAACGTCCGCTGCTCTTCACACAAGCATGGTACGGGACCCACTCTCTGTCCTGGCATCACTCTGAGCGAGCCAGCAGCCGCACCACTGCCCTGTGCACCCTGCTCTCACTGCTGCTGCTGCTGCTGCTGCCGCTGCCAGCAGCAGGAGCATGAGGGCAGAGGTTGACCTGCAGCAGAATGTGCGCGCCCCCTTGCTGCTTGCCCACTGCTGGATGGGGCGCCTGCAGCTGCTGTGCAATGGCTGGTGGGTGGGGTTCGGGAGGGGGTAGGAAGGAGATTCAAGCGGCTATGCGCAGGCATCAATGGAGAGAAATTAACGGATGGACACATGCAGCAGATTAAGGAAGATCAAGGAAGGGTATGAGAGTGAGAGATGGGAAGGAGGGGGTGACAGCAGCTAATTGTGATGGAACCGGTATTTATGATAAGCTAAGCGGTCTAATTCGACACGACTTTGTTTCGACTGGAAAGAGAAGACAATCTGGAAGGGAGGAGAATACCCCCCACCCTTTCCCCCCTCACTCCCACCGGCTGCCCTACCTTCCACGTCAACCTCTGCTGTGACTGGCTGGTCCCCGATCCGAGCGAACAAATCAGCAACTGACAGCTGGCCAAGGGGCGGGCACACCGCCCCAAGTGCCATTGCTGACGCGGCTGCTCCCTCTCCTTCTGCAGAATTCGCTGCTCCGTCTGCCTCGCTGGCAATGTCCGTTGCTGACGTGGCGGGTGCAGCAGCCATGAGGGCGGCAGTGAGGGGGTTGATGCCGAAGATGGCGCAGGCAGTAGCATCCATGCATGTGATGCGCCCCTTGCTGTTCACCTCTATGCGCCCGTCCTGTGGGCTCGCAGGTGCAAAGGAACATGCAAACATGGGCATGCACACAGGGGACATGCGCAAACGAACATGGTGACTTTGAGTCGACTCCAAAGGCAGCATCCATGCATGTGATGCGCCCCCTGCCGTCCACCTCTATGCGCCCATCCTGTGGGCTCGCAGGTGCACACAGAGAGGCACACAGGGGCACATGGGCACAGAGACACATGGACACACATGCACACATGGGCACGCATGCACTCATGCGCATGCACACATGGGCACGCATGCACACATGCGCATGCACACACCCATGCACATGCACGCACGGGTAGGGATACATGGTAACTGGAATCTCTGCCTCCCACACACACACACACACACACACACACACACACACACACACACACACACACACACACACACACACACACACACACACACGTGTCTGCACATACATTGCCCCAAAGGATCGCAGGCACGCTACCAGGCTCACACCCTGCTGAGCGAGTAAGACAGTCACACAGCGTGAACTGACAACCACTCCTTCCCGCCTTCCCAAAAACACCCCCCGCTCCCCTCACCTTACCCCTCTTCCTCCCCCCACCAACCCGTTCTCCACGCACGCACCTGCGCAAGGCTGACGACTCGTTTCCGCAGGTCCCTGCCGCCGTCGTTGCGCCAGTGCAGGCAGAAGAGCAGCGACGCCACGAGGGACAGCAGCGGCTACCCCCCCCATCCCCCTCTTCCTCACCCCACCTTCTCCACGCACGCACCTGAGCAAGGCTGACGACGCGTCTCCTGAGGTCCCTGCCACCGTCGTTGCGCCAGTGCAGGCAGAAGAGCAGCGAGGCGATGAGGGAGAGCAGTGGCTGCACGGCACGCAGCAGCCCCAGGCTGTACCCGCCTATGCGATTCGCCACCACCGCCACGCCCACTATGGCCGTGCCTGGGTGGGAACAAGAGGGACAGCAAGGAGCAGCAGGGGCAGCAGGGGCAGCAGGGGTAGCAGGGGTAGCAGGGGTAGCAGGCAGGGTGGATGGTGGTGGGCATAATACTTCAATGGTGCGGATGGGTGCACAGCACGCAGAGGTGGCCTGGCTGTACCCGCCTATGCGATTCGCCACCACCGCCACGCCCACTATGGCCGTGCCTGGGTGGGAAGGGGCAGCAGGGGCAGCAGGGGCAGCAGGGGCAGCAGGGGCAGCAGGGGCAGCAGGGGCAGCAGGGGCAGCAGGGGCAGCAGGGGCAGCAGGGGCAGCAGGGGCAGCAGGGGCAGCAGGGGCAGCAGGGGCAGCAGGGGCAGCAGGGGCAGCAGGGGCAGCAGGGGCAGCAGGGGCAGCAGGGGCAGCAGGGGCAGCAGGGGCAGCAGGGGCAGCAGGGGCAGCAGGGGCAGCAGGGGCAGCAGGGGCAGCAGGGGCAGCAGGGGCAGCAGGGGCAGCAGGGGCAGCAGGGGCAGCAGGGGCAGCAGGGGCAGCAGGGGCAGCAGGCAGAGCCAGACGGTGGTGGTGGTTGATTGGGCCTGTTTGGGTTCAAATTGGCCCATGAGACGTGAATGACAAAAAGACGTGAATGATTGCGCAATGTTTTGAGACGTCTCAAGACAAAAAGACGTGAATGATTGCGCAATGGCCCATGGCGAGCACACATTGGGACAGGGGACCCTTGAGACAGTTCAAAACAGGCAGCCGAAAGGACGGAGAGCGAGAGTAGGGGAGAGAAGAGGTGGGAGCGAGCAGGAGTGGGAGAGAGCAAGAACGGCCAATGGAAAGCAAGCATCCCACCCACCGCAGATGAGAGGCATGGCGAATGCGGTGTTGACACGTGGATGGCCCTTGGGCAGGCTGCCAGCTGGCGGGTCGTCGCTCCACACCGCCTCGCCCCTCAGCGCCGCCCGGCCGAACAGGCCCGTTTCGTCCACATCTGTGAAGACAAGGCCGGCCGCCGAGTGGCCGGCGAACCACGTCCTTAGCTTGTCGGTCCAGAGAATGTTTGTTATGGCATGGGTCTGCGACAGCGAGCAAGTCGGAAGCAGAGAGGACGAGGAACAGACAGGTGAGCGGTGTGGGAGTTATAGGAATGAGTTGGGGGAGCGGGAAGAGATTTTTGGGTCATAAAGAATGACCCAGACGAAGCATCAAGACATGGCGCAAGCTGGGCACCTCGTGAGGGAGGGGCGTTCGAGCACGAAGCACGCCTTCTTACCACACAGCACACCTTCTCAGCACTGAGCACAGCACACACACCTTGAGGCAGGGGTGGCACAGCACACACACCTTGAGGCAGGGGTGGCACAGCACACACACCTTGAGGCAGGGGTCGCCGTGGGGCATGCAGAAGTTGGAAGCAATGAAGCCGAAGGTGGACTCGCAGATGTCTAACAGCGCGTCTAGCAGCACAGAGCAGCTCTCACTCGCGTTCTCACTCTGCCACGTGCACAACAGCGGAGCGGGGAAGAGGGTGAGGAAGAGGGTGTGGGAAGAGAGTGAGGAAGAGGGTGTGGGAAGAGAGTGAGGAAGAGGGTGTGGGAAGAGAGTGAGGAAGAGGGTGTGGGAAGAGGGTGAGAGACGAAGGCAAAAGGGGGGGAGTGTGCGTTCAGCAGCAGTTTACAATGCCACGTGGGGCAGGCATCACCTTGTCCTGTCCTGTCTGAAGGCCAAGAGCCCATCTTCTATGGCGGCCACCAGAGCCTCGTTATCAATCTCATCCTCTGCATACACATCGTCATCGTCATCGTACTCCTCCCATCCCATCCAACATAAGACCCCCTGTCACATCTCACCTTATCCTGTCTGAACGCCAAAAGCCCATCCTCAATAGCCGCCACCAGAGCCTCGTTATCAATCTCATCCTCTGCATACACATCGTCATCGTCATCGTACTCCTCCCATCCCATCCAACATAAGACCCCCTGTCACATCTCACCTTATCCTGTCTGAACGCCAAAAGCCCATCCTCAATAGCCGCCACCAGAGCCTCGTTATCAATCTCATCCTCTGCATACACATCGTCATCGTCATCGTACTCCTCCCATCCCATCCAACATAAGACTCCCTGTCACATCTCACCTTATCCTGTCTGAACGCCAAAAGCCCATCCTCAATAGCCGCCACCAGAGCCTCGTTATCAATCTCATCCTCTGCATACACATCATCATCGTCCTCCTCCTCCCCCCACCCTTCATCTGACCCTCCTCCTCCCTCCTCCTCTCCTTTATCCCCTCCGCTATCTTCTCCCCTTCGAGCCACCTGAAACGCAACCACCTCCCCAAGCTCCCGCCCAGGACAAATCCCGAGCCTGGACGGGCGGATCGGCGGAAACATGGCTGGCAACGTGCCACACGCAAGAGGCTCGGCACGGCCGTATCCATACCCTAACCCTAATTCTTCCGAGCCTGTACTTAAGTTAGTTTCTGAAGGAGGTTCGGAGGGAGTTAGAAGCAGGCTGGATCGAGGCTTGGAACCTAAGCCCCATGCCGAACCTAACCCTGCTTTCGCCCTAATCGTGGCTCGGAACCCGTCCACTCGTTCTCCCTCAATTTCTGACTCAGCTCCTTCGTCCTGTGACTCATCATCCCTGTCATCATCCACAGAGTCCACGTCAGCATCTCTCCCTGCCTGATCTTCCTCCTCTCGGTTCCCAGCTAGATAGGTATAAGTGTTAGCTTCCGTGCCTGCAGGTATGGCTGCGCCCAAACCAGATACAGCAGGCTCGGCAGAAGAAGTGTTGGGTGCAGCTGGTGGTGCAGCAGCAGAAGCAGGGAGGGAGCTAGGCCCGGGCTGCAACGCCTGTAGCAGACTTGGTTGTAACAGGCTCGGTTGTAACAGGCCCGGCTGTAGCAGGTTCGGTTGGAGCAAGCTCGGCTGCAGCTGATTGGGCTGGAGTAAACCGGGCTGCAGCAAGCTGGGTTGTAGCGGGCTGGGCTGCAACATTCCTCCTGGTTGCTGCTGCATGAGAGCAGCCATCAGCTCATTCGGTGCCAGGCGCAGCAGACTGCCACCACTCTCACCCCCTCCCACCATTCCCGCTGTCGCTCCTGCTCCTGCTCCTGCTCCTGCTGCTCCTGCTGCTCCCCCTGACCATGCAGAGGGCGCAGCAGCAAACGCCCCATGAGGCGCTGACCCGAAGGGACTGCCGCCGGCGTCAGAGAGCGCTCCTGAGAAATTGCCTGAGCGGCTGCTGGAGAGCGCTGAGAGCGCGTGGGGGGAGAAGGGCGGCACACCATACCCCGCCCCACCACCGCCCGCGGCACCAAAACCACCACCAGCACCAACACCAGCAGCGCCGGGAGAAGCAGCAGCGCCGGGATAATTAGCAGAAGCAGGCGCGAGGCCGTGGATGAGCCCGCTTCCGCCGCCCTGCCAGCTGTCGATGCTGCTGTCGGACGGCATGGCGCGGTGGTGAGCGTAACCCGGCCCGCCCGGGTCGCTGAGCGTGCCACTGTATTGGGCGCCGAGGGAGGGGGCGGGCAGAGACGCGGAGGGGGGAAGGCCCACGTATGATGAGGCTGACACTCCACTGAACGTCCGCTGCCCGAGTAACGAACTCCCACCTCCTCCTGCTGCCCCCTCTGCTGCGCCTCCTGCTCCTCCTCCTCCGCCGCCGCCGCCGCTGCCTTTGCTGCTTCCTGATTGGCCGGAAGCTCTGCCTGGCGTGGCAGGGAGGGATCCTGCGGCCTGTGATTGGATGGGTTTGGACGGGGAGGGCGTGGATGCGGCTGACGTGGCACTGCCTCCGCCGCCAGGCTTTACCTCGAACCGCCACAGCACCTTATCCGTCACGTGCCCCCCCCTGCCCCCTCCCGCTCCGCTTCCTCCGCCTCGTCCCCCTGCCGCTCCGCGTCCGCCTCCGCCTCCTCCGCTTCTGCTGCTGGGCACGCCCCCGCTGGCGGAACGCTGGTGCGAGCCTTTTTGCGCGCCGCCCTGTGCGCCAGCCTGTGCGCCCGCGTGCTTGCGCAGCAGCGCGCGCGCCTGTCTCTGCTGCATGCGCTGCTCCTTCTGCGCCGCGCGCAGCTCCTTCTGCGACACCTGCCGCTGCTGCTGCTGCTGCTGCTGCGCTTGATTTGAAGGTTGGTTGCCACTATCGCGCGCGCTTATATCGGGACGCGGGCCTATGTCGCCTTCTCTTAACGTTCCCACGGCGGAGGTCAACCCGCCAATCATGCGTTCCGCCAACCCTGCGCCGTTCCCCGTCCGCCACGGGCTTCGCCCTCCTTCCGCCGACCCCCCACTTCTTGGTCTTTCTCCTCCGCCCGAACCGCCACTGACACCGTCTCCCGCCGAAGCTCCCCCCGCGCCACTGTGTCTCCTATTCTCCGCCTCGGCGGAAGCAACTGCTGCGCTAAAGCTTTCCACTCTGTAAGACGCCGCGCGGGGAACCCCTCGTTCTCCGCCGCCTTTCCCGTCGCCTTTCCCGGCGGCGGGTTTCTCGGAGCTGGCGGATCGCGGTACAATCACGGAGTCGGAACTATGCCGCGATTTATCCGATCCCTTCGATACAGTCACATCGCCGCCCAATCGCAGCTCTTCGCTGTTCCCCGCGCTCGCGCTACGATGCCGCGATCGAAACCCCCCCTTTCCGCCTGGCGCAGCCTTCCCCTCGTTTGATCTCTGATCCGCCGTTACGCCAATGCCCGAAACATCGCTGCTCGACCCCGCACTACTTCCGCCAACCGGCTGCGTCGCCGCGCTGCTCTCACGCTTATCGCCTGCGTCATTATTACTTTGCGCAGTTCTGCCGGCCTTCCGCTTATCCGTGCTGCCTCGCCGGCGGCCGGCGCCGCTGCGCGGATTGGACGCCCCGAGCCTGCCGAGCAAGCGCGGCGCCGAGGCCGCGTTTTGGCGATCCGTGGAGTGCTGAGGACCCATCGCTTCCTAAAAACTACAAACAGACGCTTTCGCGATGCGTGGCGCTTCAAGTGCTTTACCTTACCGATCTGATCGATGCGCTTGACATGGCTTATCTGGGAGCTGTCGCACGCGAACTCTCGGAAAGAACATAAACAGCGACAATCCCTAGGGCAGCTTTGGGGATTTGGAAGGTACGGGGATTGCCAGTACCCCCTTGAGTGTGTGGTCGGGTGGTTTCCGTTTCGAGTGAACACTCGCTTCGTACGCTGATGTGAAAGCTGGCAGTCGTGTACTATATATTCTGTTTTTCAATCAAACTACTGTACAGCAATCTCTGTTGACTCGTTCATGACGGGCACCTCCCTTCTCCGTCAATCATATTCTGCACTGGTCATCCAGCCTCATGCAGTGCATCCGTCCGTCTGTCCCAGCGTCCGTTTCCGTCAGCAGCAGCACACACCACACGCGTCCATCCCGCCACACCTCGTTTGTGTCTCGTGTTGCGCGCCCGCCCTCGTCGTGCCCTCATGCCCATGTCTCCTCACGACGAGGCGGGTGTCGTCGTGTTTCGTTTGCTTTTCGCAAACCACGGTTTGCCTTCGCTGCATTGCGGTCCAGGGTGCTAAACAAATCTAACCGCTGTCTACCGCGTTACAGCCTTTCAAACCGTACTGCACGATCAGCAGGCACATCGGGCGGAGCACCCTCAACCAAAAGCATCCTCCCCATCCCACAATCTCCTCTCCCCGTTCTTATCCCTTCCTGGAGTCACACACTGGCCTTGTTCTTGCGGCGTGTTCCTCTTAGCAACAGCTTTCCTTCTTAGTCGCCAATCAATGATAGTGTCACGCCCGCGTCACGTTACGAACTCGTTATCGTTTCACCTGTCTGTCTTGGAGCCTTAGGTATTCTCGACAATATTCCTAGCACTCCGCATTCAATTCTTCGTTGAATTCCACCTTCCCTACGGTCACCGCCATCCTCGCACCGCGCCATGGCGAGCATCGTCGTCATAACGACGCAGGACGACGCGGCGCACGCGTTTCCCGAATCTGCCATCGACGACCGCCTACTCATCCCCGGCCTCCCCAACGAAATCGCGATTCGCTGCCTCGCCCGCGTGCCCTACATGCGTCGCCTGCGCCTCGGCCTCGTCTGCAAGTCCTGGCGCGACGCGTTTCGCGGCGGCACGATTTACAACATCCGGCAGCGGGAGAATATCCTCGAAGAGCTTCTGTGCGTCTCGTTTCTCGACAAGACCCACGGCCGGCTGGTTCTGAAAATCCTCGACGAGGATTCGCGGAAATGGGCGCCGCTTTCGACGGAGTACCGGCATACCAAGTGCAAGGTGCGCAGCTTCCACTGCCGCGCGTTCCGCCACAAGGTATTTGTGTTCACGCGCGACGAGTGGGCGCTCGTCAAGGACAGCAACCTCGCCATGCTCGGCGTCACGCGCGCGGGCGCGGGAGGGGGAGGGGGAGGGGGTGAAGGCGGGGGAGGAGCAGCGGGGCGAGCGGAAGATGTGGGATTAGGGGGAGCGGTCGGGGGCGAGGGAGGAAGGGGAAGGAGAGGCGGGGAAGGGGACGGAGAAGGGGAAGGGGGAAGGGAAAGGGGAGATGAAGCGGGAGGAAGAAGGGGAATTGCAGCTGCTGAAGCTGGTCAGGCGGGTGGGGGTGGTGACGGTGGAGGGGGTGGTGGAGGAGGGTTTGAAGTGTCCAACGTGGTTACGTGTTACGGGCGGTTTTACACGCTAGATCGCAGCATGATACACGAGTACAACCTGGAGAGCAAGCGGTGGGAGCCGGCCGTGCCGTTGCCCTCACGGCACCGGTGGGCAGGGTCGTTCCGCCAATGCTACTTCCTGGTGTCTCTGGACGGCAAGCTCTGTGTGATTGACACGTGGCAAGAGAAGTGGCTGTGGGTGACGGGGAAGGTGAAGGCGAATGCCAGCTTCTTGGAGTTCTCTGAGGGGGCAGCTGAGGATGGTGGTTTGCTGGGCAGCGGGAGGGCTGTTGTTGGTGCAGCAGATTCTGGGAGGAGACGGATTGCCAGATGCCAGTCTGCAAGTGGTTTGAGATACAGGTGGAGTAGAGTCCATATGGCCGTGGAGACTGATGGGAGAGAGTTAGCAGGATATGCTGTGTTTCAAGTGTAAAGCAGCTTTGTACAGTACCATTAGTAGTGTACTTAATTGCATCTGCAGCTATTGGATGGGCTTGGAAGCGCAGGGCTTGGCCTTGTTGCTAGAGCCAAAGAAAGTCACAAGTATGTTCAATAAAGCTGAATGTTGTTCCTGGTACAGCATGAAACACATCCCTGTTGTGCAGATGGAATTTGGTGTCTAAGGCTCACCTAGCAATAAACTCTAAATGACATGCAGTATATAGCAAGCTGGAGCTACTAATCAGTCCACATCATGTTGACCCATCAGTACATGGGCGGCATGCCGTAGGCGGGCATGGGAGGGGCACCGAATGCACCACCATCCATGCCTTGACCGGGCATGGGAGGCGCTGGCAACGCAAGTGGCATGAGCGTTTGGTACATGTTCTGCACAGCGCACACAGAAACCACCCACCGTTACAAAACGTCAAACGTCACATTAATTCTTCTGACAGAGCATAGGAAGCAGAAAACGGTATAAAGAAAACAGTATAAACGGTTGTTCATGACTGAGCATGATGTCATGGTTCAGGCATCTCACCGCTTGGGCGATGACCTCCTTCTCCTCCTTGGCCTTCTTCTCCACCTCCTTCTTGGCCGCCTCCTTGTCCTTCACCAGCTCATCCACCTTGCTCGAGTACTCACGCAAAAACTGCCATGCGCACACACAGTGGGGCACACACAGTGGGGCACACAGGGCACAAACATAGACACGCAAGTGATGACACGATGCAATTCCTTAGGCAAAGCTGAAGCACACAAACCACAGCACACATATCAGGGAGAGAACAGCTAGAAAGAGGACACGGAAAATTAGGAGAGGAGAGAGCGGTGTGGTGTGGTACCTGGATGAGGTAGGGCATGACATAGTCCTGCATGTTGTTGAGCCATGCGAGCTCCACCACCACGTCTGGGCGCAGTAGGTCGTAGCACGTGTACAGGCATGCCGCGAAGCACTCCTTCTTGTCCTGCCATACAGCGCATTAACACACACGTAACCATACTCACACAACCGCCCACCCCCACAGCCATATCCAAAGTCACACCCATGCCCACACACACCCACAAGTAAGCAGCACGATGAGAGAACGGTTGAGGGTCACAGCGAAGAGGGCCAAGAAACAAGAAAAAAGGGGTGGTGGGGGTTGGGGTTGGGGGAAGGAGAGGGATCGGTGGATGGGCCCCATAAAAGGGTGAAAAGAGGGGGAGGGAGGGGGAGCTGGCGGGAAGGAAGGGGTTGTTGCAGGACAAGGAGTTGATTTGGAAGTGAGATCGAGCATGGAGCAGTGAGACTGGAGCAGTGAGACAAGAGCAGTGGGCTAGTAGATCAGGTTAGCAGCGCAGGTGGATAAGCAGGTGATTGAGCAGTGCAACAGGGCTGACCTCCTCGAGGAAGTAGTTGAGCAGCTCCTCTGCGAGCTCTCTGTCGCCCGACTGGGAGGCGGTCTCCATGGCGTCCTTGTACAGCTTGTCCGCCTTGGACAGCGCCAGTGACTGCCTCCAGCGCCCACTCATCTTGTAGATGAACGCCGCTATGCGCCTGAACTCCAGCAGCTCGTGCTTCTCGATCTGCGGGGAACGAAGGAGGGGAGAATCGAGAGAGGGGGAGGGGGATCGGGAGGGGGGGCGGGGAGGGGGAGGGGGAGAGGGAGGGGGGCGGGGGAGGGGGATAGCGGAGACAGAAAAGGGGCGATGCAAAGACAGCCAGACAGGAGGTAAGGCAAGGACGGAGACTGAGAACAATGTAAATTGCAACGGCAAAGGTTAAAGTGACAGGAGTGCGTACAATACTGAAGGGGCACAGCTACATTAAGGGAAAGAAATATAAGTCTTCTGCAAAGTATCTGGCAACTGCTCAGGAAGTGTGGGGATACCCTCTGGGCGAGGGAGATCTGGTCGAAGTTGTCGTGCATGTCGATGGACTCGCGCAGGCGGTCGTAGTCCTCCTCCTCGATGTACAGGTTGTTGAGCGCCTCGTTCACCGCCGCCACGTTCACACTCTGCACCGTCACCAGGTATGGCTTCACCAGCGCCAGGTTGCCCGACTGCAGGGAGAGGAGGCGGAGGGAGAGAGGGGGGAAGGCGGGGGGGGAGGGAGATGGTGGGTGGGGGGAAACAAGATAAAAAAGGAGGTTAGGTTTCACACTCTGCACCGTCACCAGGTATGGCTTCACTAGCGACAGGTTGCCCGACTGCAGAGGGGAGAGGGAGGGAGGAGGAGGGGTGGTGGGTGGGGAGGAACGGGAACAGGCAGGGTCAATTTCTCAGTCAACACGTGAGGATGGAAATGACACATTGAAGTGAACACTGAGGGTACCGGAACCAAGACTCATCACATGCTCACACATTCTTAATCATCCATTCACAATGAAACAATTCACCATTCTTTACCCCAACCCCTCATCTCCACCCCACTCCCTCTCCCTGGTAACTTGGGCGTCTGAGCAGTCTACACTACACAGCACAGAAGACCTACCTTGCGCATGAGGTCGACGACGCGGGCGTGGTCGACGCGGGGCGCGAGCACGGTGAGGAGGTCGTTGATGAGGTCGGGGTGCTCTTGCAGGTAGAAGAGGATGGCGCGGTAGTAGATCTCCAGATTCGCCACCTTCACCACCACGTCCTTGAACTGCAACGGGCGAAAGGGAGAGAGTGCGGGGGAGACAGCAGGGCAACAAACAGAGTTGCACAATTGCAACGGCAGAGACGAGTTTCAACATTAGAACAGTTGCAAACCAAGAGAGCAGCACGGCGGGCAAGAACGAGACGACGGCATGGGAAAACGTGGCAGAGGAAAAGGGCACGCAGGACGTCCTGGGTGAAGGGAGGGTAAGAGACAGGAGAGGGGACGGACCTGTGCATGTTCCCAGGCCTCGGGCGAGTGGGTCATGATGGTGGTGGAGGCGTTGTCAAACTCATCATACGTGATGTACAGGAACGTGAGCTCCTTCCAGTGCTGCTGCTCGTCGCACACGCGGATCAGCTTCGGAATGTTGATGCGCGTGGAGAAGAGCTTCAGGTGCTCCATCAGCTTCTCGGGACGGTAACGCGCGTACAGACTCCCCAGCTCCGTGAAGATGCCCATGTGCGCGCGCTCCAGACCCAGCCCGCTCTCCATCAGCGACATGACTTCATCAAACCGCCCGCGGTTCTGGTAGTAGTCGCTGACCTCCTCCATGTCGTCCACCTGGACAATGATGTTCAGCCCGCAGATCTGCGCGAGGCGGAACTCCTCCGCGTCGACGCAGGCGAAGCACACCTCCTTCCACACGCGCGCGCTGTTGGCCTTGCGCGCCGCGTCCACCGCCGCCTGGAACTGCTGCAGGCGCACGAGCGTGCTGGCCAGCCGGCCCCAGTTGGAGATGTGCTGGAAGATGATCCGCGCGGCTTCATAAAGCTCCTCGTCGAACAGCCGGTCGCCCACGCTTTGCAGATTCGCGACATTCGGCAGAGCAATGAACTCCTCGATGGCGTCCAGCTTCTCGATCTTGGCGTACGCGTACACGAGCTCCTGGTCCACCTTCGGGTCCTTCACGGTCTTGCGCACCATCAGCAGGTACTCCACCAGATCGGCGTACGCGTCCACACGCTCTGAAGCACGGATCACCTCGTGGAACTGGGACCCGTCGCCCGCGCGGATGAAGGACGCGATGGCCTCGGAGAGAAGATCCTCCCGCAGCTGGGCCTTACCCACCTGCGACCACACCTCCGGCTCCTCCACCCGGTTGGCGAATTCGACGGCGCGGGGGATGCTGTTGATGTTGTCCAGGAGCACGTTCACTGCGGGGACGTTCAGGTTGAACTTCTTGAAGATGGCGAAGGCCTCCTCGTAGAGCTCGCTGCCCACGGCGATCTCACCGACGGCGGGCCCGTCGAAGTTGTCGAGGCGGTTGACGTAGTCCATGACGCGCGTCTTGTCCGCCTTGATGGCCGTCAGGATGAGCAGGTTCTGCAGGTTGGGGTTGCCGCTGAAGGCCGAGTTCTGCAGCACGATCTTCTCGAGCAGCTCGATGAGCTCGTGGGGGAGATCGGCCGTCATGAAGGCCTTGACGGTCACGGACACCTGGTCGGGGTTCTTGCTCTCTGGCAGCGCCGTGGACACCACCTGCAGGGGTAAAGAGGCAACGGAAAAGACGGGAATTGGGCAGGGGGGCAAGAACACGAGGTAGTGGGATGAGGGTCAAGGAAAAGCTGTTGCCCAAAAGTCACGAGCAGCAGAACGAGAGTGAGTGCGTTGAGAGTGCAGGAGGGGAGGATGGGTGGCGTACCTGGTCAATGAGCTGGCGGCGGTACTCGTTCTCGGGAGTGAGGACAATGGCCCACAGCTCAGGCTCCATGCGCTCCACAACATACCTGGAGGGAAAGCAGGGGCACAAACCAGACATGTGAGACGTCCCAAATTCAAAACATCAGACCACTTCAAGTGACGAACTAGCTCAAGCCAAGACTGCTGCTCCTCGCACCCCTCCTAGACACTTAGCCCCCCTTTCCCCTCCCCTCCCGTCCTCGTTCTTCCCAGACTGAAGGTACACGCACCTGGCCTGCAGCTTGAAGAGGGAGTTCTTGGCGGTGACAGCGATAAGCTCCTCGTCGCACAGCCCGCGCTTGTACGCCACCACGGCCAGCGTGGGGTCGCGCTTCTCGCAGTACTTGCCCACCACACGCGAGTCGTAGAACGGGTTGGTCGTGAGGAAGTGCTCGGGATTGTTGTTGGTATCAATGATGATCTTCCCCAGCGCGTTGTGCACGTGCACGTCCTGGCTGCCCTCGCTCACCAAGTGCTCCAGGAACTGCGTCAGCAGCCGCAGCCGGTTGCGCTTCTCCACCTCCTCCACCAGCGGCTCGACAGGAATCAGCGAGCGCACCGACAGGATCAGATTCTTGATGAAATCCTCCGCGCACTCGTCGTCCAGAAGCTGCCCGACCACCAGCGCGGCATTGCTGGGGTTCACCTTCTGCACGTAGCCCTCGATGTACCGCAGCATGTTGTTC